CTTGATACATAAAATCTTATTCAATTAAACATATTTTAACAATGCATTATCACTGCAGAAGAGTTTTGTTTTTACAACTGGTAAAAATGATTCTTACTATTAACAAAATGAAAATATTAAATTCAAATTTTCTCTTCAAACTAGCAGACCCTAGAAAATACACCCAAATTCATCTTAATTACATATTAGTAGATTGCTTGTCCCAAAGACCTATAATTAACTCCTTTGGGCTTATTTTTTTCTTTACCTTAGTCTGCTCGGTCACATTATGACATTATGGAATCTTAGGAATAACTTGGTACTTACTAAACTGTAATTTTACACAAGCTCTTAACCATCTTGTCCTCAAGATGAATCTGCCAAACCTTACCCTTGTCAGACTATGTTCCTTTCTTCCAGTTATACTGTATCACCCCCTGGTGTTACATATGACGCTTGCAGCCAACACATGCTGACAAATTTCTCTGCTTTGTTGAAGGAATGGTTAAGTACTTTCCTGATTTATAGATTAGATTCCCAAAGAATATATGTAAATTCATTGGGTTCCAAGACCAAAGTACACTATGTAAACCTTCAATAATATCTAGAGAACTAGTGACTATACGGTGACACGCTCTGAAGGTTGTTTTCCAAAGCTGGCACACAAAACCAATAGTGACTGTAGTGATACAAATGATTCTGTTTCCCCGTTGACCATTTTAGGAATGCATCCATGTTTACTGTCTATCCAGGGAACAAGACAGCGTGGTGAGCTTCAGTTAGAGAACACACCACAGAGAGTGTGGTTGCAGATCAGCTTGAAAGATTTTTAAACAATGACTAGCATTACTCTGTCTTGAGCTGCTAAGACATTTCTTGGTATTTTGAGTTTTTGCTTTATAGAAATATCTATTATTTGTAACTTAATGAATTCACCTGTTTTCCAGCTTACCATTCCAGCTTGCTAGGTCTTCTTGGATACCCACATTGGCTATGTAGAATATATCCGTTCTCTTTGATTTTCTCTAACCAGTATTTCTGTAAGTTCTTCAATTAATTCTTCAACTTGCTCCTCAAGAACATCTTCAGAGCCATCACCACCCACTTACCTGGTGTTGCCTATCTTCATCGATGGCTCAGAAATCCTGAGAATTCATGTACACACGTTTTTGTTTTACAATATAAATGTCTCTAGCAACGCTTTTCTGCCTTAAAGTTCACTTGGTCAAATAGAACTACAGTTCTTGTTTCATGGATTACTATTTGCAGGTTACATCTTTTCTCATCCTTCTAAACTTTTGTTTTTAATGTGTCTGTATCCTTATATTTCATTATTTATATCTGATTCTTTTTAGGTATGTCTTTTTTATATTGTATGTACTCTAACTGGACTACCTTTACATTTTAATTGAAGCATTTATGTGCCATGTTATAACTGAAATATACATACGTGTATACATGTATATGCTTTATCTATTGTTACTACATACTATTTGTCCTACTAGTTCTTTTCCCATCCCCTTACCGAGTGCTTTTCAAATCTATATCCGTTCTATTAATTTGTTAATAATTTTCTTTTAATGATTACAAGAGATTACAATATATATTTGATTAGCAATTTTACCTCTTCCTGAACAATGCAAGAATTTTGCAACATTTCAACACTATCTACCCTCTTGATTGACATACTGGGGCAAAAGTAGGTTTACAGTTGTAGTACAAATCAATATACAGAACTAGTAAATAATACAATAACTTTTGCATACTCACCTTTCAGCCTTTTGCCCACCCCTGTATTTGCTTTTGCTGTAATAATTTTAGTATTATCCCCAGAATTTATTATTGCTATTAATCTATATTCACTTACATGTACTTACATATTACCCCTTTTTGTTGACTTTCCTTCCTTCCGGTATCTTCATGTCTCCTCCTTTGGTTACTTACTTTCTGTACAGTAGGTGGGTGGATGTTCATTTTTTTGTTTGCAATTATTTTACCTTCATATTGTGTCATTACTGAACCCTGACCGGTGTGACTCAGTTGGGCATTGTCCCACAGAGCGAAAGGTTGCCAGTTTGATTCTTGGTCAGGGCACATGCCTGCGCTGCAGGTTGTCTTTGGTTGGGGCACATGTGAAGCAACCCATTGGTTTCTTTCTCCCTCTCTCCCTTCCCCTCTCTCTGAAGAAAATCTCAGGGGTGGGGGTGAATGTTGAGTATAGAATTTGAGTCTATTGTGAAGTCACCTTAGTGCTGCTCCCTTTTCTCCTAGCTGCTTTTAAGATATTTCTTTTGTCTTTGGTGTTAATACTGATATTCTTAGGTGTAATTTTTTATATTTACTGTACCTAAAGCTTACAGTATGTGGCTTGGTTTTTTAATTGGTTTTGAAAAATCCTGAGTCATCATCCCTCCTCTCCCCGAGAGAACTCTTCATTGTTATCTCCTCACACTCATTCTTTTCCATTGATTTTTCTGATTTTTTTTACTTGTTTCTAGTCACCAATTCTGATTCTGCATCTAAGCAAGTACCAGTACAACTTCAAGCCATCTTAGAGGCAGAAATTCATGGTCTCTTAGGTAGTTCCACTAAGACTTAATTCCAACTAGTTGCCTCTCTGTGTAACTCTGCACAAATTATAAATTCCTAGAATAATGTTCAACCAGTTATAGCAATTTATGTCATGTGACCATCCTTTGGTGGCCAAGGGAAACCCTTGGTAACCCCACTATAACCAAATGGAGTGACAGAGTTATGTTGCTCTAAGAAAGAGATTTTGGGAGACAAAATGTCTTATTACAAAACATAAGGAAGAGGGAGGAATAATATGTTAGGAAAAGAAACACTACAGAATGATTTTCGCTCTAGAAATTTCAAAGCAGGTTACTGTGAAACACCTGGTTTGTTCCGGGTCCTGTCAGAAAACAGACGGGATACTCAAGCGGGGTACTTAAGGGAAGTTGAATAAAGGGACTAAGGTCAACAGTGTGTTCAGGCTAAGGAAAAGCAATAATGGATGAAGTCCTCCAGGACTAGTAACAGCATGAAGCCATTACTACCCTAGGCCTACAGAAGGGGAGGGAGTAGTTAGTAAGTCTCAGAGAGTAGCTACAGAATAGGAAAAGAGCCTCCTAACAGAGCTGTAGGAGGTTACAGCTCTTCAACCCAACAGTCTGACAGTTTGAATGTCCTGAACAGCCTGTAAGACTCCTGAAGCAACTCTGCAAGCAGCAGCACAGGAAATATCTGAACTCCACTTTCTTCTCATCTGCCAAGTCTTTAGCTGGTGACTTCCGATTGCTGAAACCAACCAGAAGCCAGGGAACAAGCTACAGGCCATACACAGCAGAGTCTCCTAGAGCACAGGGCTGAGGATGAAGGCGAAGTGTCATTGAGAGACTCCCTTTTTTATTGGTTCAATGACATAAAGAGCCCAAAATGATCAGAGAATTGTCTCAAGGTTTCAATTTAAATAGAACCAAGGTTGTGTTCCCTGAGAGAAATATTGCTTCCTTAGGCACTAAAACCTCCAAACTCACCAACAAACAGGGGTACCAAAAATGCCTTCAATTTGTCAGTTGGCATAATTCTCAGTGGTATCAGTCCCACTTCCATTTCTTGATTTCTTGACCTATGCGTCCTGGCTCTGGGGGAGAGAACACCATAGGATAGAAAGCACCATGGGAGATAAATCCACTCTTCAACTAGCATCAAAAAAAAGTTAAAATCAATATACAGTGCCCAGGATTATCACTCTGGAGCCAAGAATACATGGGTTCAAAACCCAGCTACATCAAGTAAAAGTTGTGGAATTAAATGATACTTGGTGCTTAGAATACAGAGGTTCAAAAAATGTTAAATATAAAATGTTTACAAAATTCTACTGGTTCTGTTGCTTACAGAATCACATACAAACTCCTAAGCAAAGTTACATGGAAGCTTTCAAGCAAGACTCCAAATTAGTGATCCTAGATCCCAGTTTACTCCATTCTGCCATACTAGGCATTGTTCAGGAAATTTGTGGAGATGTAACTGAACTTAGACCACACAACTACTAGCCACCCCAAGCTTACTCAAGTCCCTATGCTGATGCGGAATTCTAGCCTTTCACCTGGGAATTCCTGAAGACCTGTGTCAAACTTTTCTACAATCCTGACTTGTCAATTCTGATTCTACTCCTGATAGTACTTAATCTTATCTTACATTCAGTTAGCACTATTTTACTACAAAACTGAGATTCACATACCCATCTGCTCATTATTTAAGCCTCCAGAATGCAGTATGCATGGAATTATACTAGGCACCGGGGATGACAGTGAACAGAACTGTCCAGGGCAACAATAATCCAAATTAAGAAAACATATAGTTAGTGCTTCTATTAGTCTCAGGAGAGCTTGGCACAGGGGGTTACTCTGATAGTTTGTGCCAGAACCAGTGCAGATTGAAAGGATAAATCTCAGTACAGACCTTGCAGAATATTTTAAAAGAGGGACTGAATAAAGGTGATGAAGAAAAAAGTTAATCACAATCTGAACTATTCGCAACTCTTAAATACCTACAAGGAAATTTGTTTTCTATTTAGTGACCATCTACAGCAAATTAACTAAATCCTGGGAATCCTTGTGTGCAGACTGAAAAAAATGGAGAATGGTATAGATAGTAACAAAATTTGTCCTGAAATTCTGATTGTTTCAGTTTTCTGAAGATGATGGTTCAACAGACAAAATATCGAGAGTAAGTATATGCCCATCCTACCTTTAGTAACATTTAAAAAAATATTAACTGTGATATAAAAACAAGTTTGCACAATTTGAACCAGTTATCTCGAAGCTGAATGGGCAAAAACAGACATAAAAAGCTAAGACATACCTAACCTATAAGGCTTATATTCTTGTATTATCATTTGACTACTGAAAAATTAGAAGGATTTTTAATTTGCAAGTCTTTTTTTCAGAAAACAAAATATAATATAAACTGAAACAACTACTTAAAAAAATTACAGACCAAAATAACTTTGTTACATAAATTAACCCATTTATTATCGGCTAGCAATGCTTCAAATTGTGGATCTTCTACTGGTCTTTCAATTCCTTCAATCTTCTGATGGCAGACTTTACTGTGACAGCAGAAGTGGTGCTGGAAAGAAAAACAAATTTGGTTCCAACGTAATTAACTACACCAATATGTGAAATGGCTAATCCGCTTCACTTTTACAGTATAATCTAAATGATGAAGGATGACATCCTTTATGAGTCATGTCTTCAGACTTGCAGAATGCGACAGGCAACCTGAACTAAACATCTGACTTCTCAGACAACAGAGCATAAACAAATTAACACGGAAGAATGGTTGCAAAGGACTGACCTAACTTCGTAAAAGGGTAATGAACAAAATGCCAGAAGAAACTAATAAATTATAAAATGGTACAATAAATAAGAGGTACCAAGAAAGCAATGTTTAACATGGTAGAGCAAGTTAAAGTACATTTTGGAAAGACAGCCATTTAAAAATAACTACAAAGTTTTACTACACTGAGGAACTGTACCCGAAAAACACATCCCCCCACCGCACCCTGTGGCTATCTGAATGCTGATTCATTTTACTATCACAACCAAGAGAACTTGCTACCCGCCCCCACTTTGCCTTCTGCCCTCCTAAAACCCCACAGGCATTTATCCTTATACCCACTATAAGTATTTCAACATTTTCCAATTTTTTAGTGCTTCAATTAAAGTTTTAAAATTAAATTAAAATCCAATTCTTCAATCACACCAGCCAAATCATTTTATATAGAGGTGGCCTTTTATATACTGGACAACACAAGCCAAGACACTGGCCAGAGGAAGAACACCTCAGCCTTCAGGGTCTGCAATGAATTCCAAGATTAGACCCCTTCAGAATCACCAAAGAATCTTAACTTCCAGAAATGAATCAACTTAAGAGGCCACACAATCCACAACCAGCACAGAGTTAATCTCAGCAGTGTCACCTGGCCCTTGTCAGGCTCAGAAAGGCCCAATACTGTGAGCGACAAAGGTGTGGTGGTTCAGACCGCCTCAGATTTTCATAGTTACTAAGCTAAGTGATTCCTTGATTTCAAGAACAGCTCGCAGGCTCAAGTCAAGGTTCCCCACTACCAAGGTTGTACAGAATCATGACAATACTCATGATGACCCTAAGAACTTTAATGTGAACCAAGACTTAATTTTTTATTTTGGTAGTTTTCTTCTTATTCTTTTAATAACTCAAACCACAACTCAAAAGTCCTGGGGGGAAAAAAAACAAAAACAAAAGGAGCCTTACTTTCCCAGTCCTGTAAAGAGCTAAAACCAGCCCACACAGTGTTAAGCCTCAACTATGACTGGGCCACACACTTCGAAACACCACAAAGAAACAGACTCACTTGTAGGTCCAGGCACCACCAGCGACCGTTTTCATGCAGGAGCCACAGTGCCAGATGCCCACTGCTCGTCTCTTCATCTTGGTCTGTAAAAAACAACCAACTTTCCCTGAGAACCAAACGCACTCCGGGATCTGACTTACGCTAGAAAATGAACGTTGGAATCTTTAGGGAGGTTATGTGTTTCTAATACCCCTAAGTTCTCCAATGCAAAATTTGCACTCATCCTGGTGATACTGCCAAAGATATGAAAAGGCGCCCCCCCCCCCCCCCCCCCCCCCAAAAAAACAAAAACAAGGACTGCTGTGACCAAGTCCAGTCGATGCACAGATGTTACAGGAAAATCTCTTAGCAGCTCCAGTAGACAGAACTCACAGAATCATTTCCAATCAAACCAGACAATGCAGGTTTGGCTAGGCTGGGGCTCTGTCGTCATTTTTTACCCTTTAGTTCCTACGTGGTTTTCTTCGGGTGAAAAACGTTTCACCAAATCTAAAGTACGCAACAATACTCCATCGCCTTATAACTGATTATCCGTAGTGCACACGGCTCTAACGGCTCAACACCTCAGAACCAGCACTGTTTACAAACTTCGAAAGGCCTCGCCAGGAAGGACACCTGCGCTCCCTCACCGCCGTCCCGCCCCCCCACCCGCCCCCCAAACGGGAGCCTTTCTTACTTTGCCACAGAAGGAGCAAGTGTACTTGGCGTGCTGGCTGATCTCAATTTTCTTCACCATTTTCCTGAGGGAGGCGCCATAACGGGTGCCGTATTTACCGACGATTCCGACTTTCTTGGTGCGTTTAGCCTAGTAAGAAAGAACCAAAAATACCAGGACCCTGGAACAGACAGGTTGCCACACTCCCCCAAGTCCCAGCGCCTCCGTAACCACTCCTCCACCCACCCAGCCCCTGCCTTTGTCCTGGCTGCCCCCACTCCACCCCGGTGCAACTACGGCCCAGGGCAAGCCCGGTGCTCCGAGGGCTCCCTCCTAACCCGGCCCGAATGGCCCGGGCCGCGACCAACAGCTCCACTCCCGCCAGTCCGCTGCCGTCTGCGTCCAAGAGAAGCGGCGAGGGCACAGACGCCGAGGACACAGGACAGGGTTGGCCAGCAGACGTGGGTTAGGGCGAAGAAATCAAGAAAAGGACAGATGCAGGTGGATAAACAACCTAGGCCTCTGCGAGACCAACACTCACCATTTTGCCGCAAAGTAGATCGGACCCCAAGAGGAAGCGCTGCACTGCGCAGGCGCGGTTTTAGGAAGACGAACGGAAGTGGTGCGTGTGAGGCCAGCTAGGATCTGAGCTCTATGATCCGGAGGTTTCCCTGAACGAGGCGTCAGTTGGAGAGGGTTGGAAAAAGTCTCTGTGCCAGATTTACCGTGATTGACAAATGGTAGCAACAAACTCTAGTGGCGGCCCTTTCCCGCATCCACGTTTTCTTACATCACAAATCCTGCAGTGCGAGTACCGTTTCCTCCATTTTGTGGACAAGGAAAGAGTCAAGTTTTAAGGGACTTGCTCACGGGTTCTTGGCTTCCAAAAGTGCTTAAATCTTATGACTCCAAGTCGCATTTTTTTCCTACATCATATCTTTTCAAAGCGGCAAGCCCTGTGCAGGGGACACTGGTACTATGGTGACCAAAAACTAAGGCTCCACTCTGATGCACCACACTAATGTAAGTCGTTAATAGTCTATATAAACAACCACCACCCAAGGTCACTGCAAGATGTGGGCAGGGCCTATACGCCTGTCGCTGCATCCCAGGACTGAAGAGACAGTTTTTGGCCATGTTTGTGGTAATGGATCCTTGTTGAAAGGGGAAATGGTATTTCGCATGGTATGATGGTGAGATGGGTTTGTAAAGGGTTTAATTTGTCTGGGTCAGTCCACTTAGGTCAGAACTAAAAAAGGCTCTAGGCAGGGATGCCCAACATTTTGGGGTCTCTGGGCCACACTGGAAGAAGAAAAGTGTCTTGGGCCACACATTAAATACACAAACACTAATGAAAACTGATGAGCAAAAAATGTTTTAAGTAAATTTATGATTTTGTATTGGGCTGCATTCATAGCCATCCTGGCCATGTGAGGCCCACAGGGCACGAGTTGGACACCCCTGCGAGATAATTAACTCGAACTAGAAATTGAGACCTTCAAGGAGGTCAAATGACTTGCTCAAGGTCATAGAGCTAAGAAATGACTTCCAGACAAGTGCTCTTTCTACCATATCACACGATTCCAGCTGTTTCCTCAACTGTGAAGTGAATGTTTCCACACCCCTTGTCAGGTTCTTGGGAGGATGAACTAACTTTGATGAAGTGCCTAGAGGGCATTTCTAAGTGGTGGTTGTTATTGTTAAGATGATGATAAGACCCGATTTCATTGTCTCTTGGTGCCTTTTCAGTACTATTTCCTCTCTTGCCATACTCAGGGGACTAAACAGATCTGCTTCCTAGTTTCCTTTAAAAATTTGCCCATCACTTTTCTCCTTAATCCCTTTACCTTGAACAAAATCGGTCACAGCTGCTGCTACCTGAGGTCCCCAAAGGGAGTGGGATGTGCTCAAGTCTCTTGGTTCCATCACAGGCCTCATGGACTGTTTTCCTCTTTAGAGTGAAGAATAGCAAAGGACCCAAGGAGCAAGTCTCTCCTTCCCCAGTAGAAAAACACACTGAACTTGGGGGATGATTTTTGGAAACCTTTCCATCAAAACTATGCCCTGCTCCCAGAAAATTATACATTAAAACAGAAATGTATACACGTGGGTGTAAAAACGGACTAGTAGAAGCAGTGTTAACAAACACTCTAATGCTCCAGTCTGCACCTCCAGGCCAAGCAGTGGAGTTCACTTGCCCTGATCAGTGGGTAAGCTGGCCAGCATCACACTAGGGCAGCCAAACCTGAGGGGCACTCTCCTGGGCTGGCTCTAGAGTTTAGTTCAGATCATCATTTAAAACATTTACCACCTCCTCACACCCATCCCCTGCATGAGTAAGAATGCAATAGAGTGGCTGAAAATGTGATTCTCCATAATAAGAGGAAACTGTTCATGTTCATGGCAATTTTGTCAAAACTAAACAATTCTTTTTAAATAGCAAGCTTGAAGATGTGCAAATAGCATGCTCACGAAATCATGTCCCAGTGGCTTCAGAGAATTGAATCTCCCATAAAAATCTCAATTTGTCTTATCTGTGGGCACATAATCTCCATCCTCATCTGAGGATCATCAGGTGTACAGATCGTTAACTGTAATGTGTATCCATAAAAGTCTCAGTAAAAATCTCTGGTGAGTCACCCCCTGGTCTTCAGAAGCACTCAAAATTCACTTTTGCCTTTAGAAAAGTCATTTAAAAGTTGCTTCCAGAGAAGAGTTCTTTTAGCTGTTGAGTCAACAAGTTCTCCTCGGAGCATATGGAACATTTTACCCTCCAGAGAAATCTGAGGGGCAAGCATCATCCCCAATTCATCTCATGCTGGAGACAGGGTTTATTCTGGAGAACCAGGCTCTGTGTTATTCTTTCACTTCCTGCCTGAAGAACTCTTGCTTCACCGAAGTGTCTGGTGGCCATAGACAAGAGCAAAGTTTGCAGAGATTGCTAAAAACCTTGTGGTCCAAGCTCTGCAGGGAAGGGCAGACTCAGCAAGAGGGGGCCAAGACTTTCCAAGGCTGAGTCCTGATACCGAGAAAGAATCCGGTGTGTGAAATACATTCAGTGCATGGATTCTTCCCTCTCTCCCTTCTCCCCACAGGTTCACTTTAAATGCATTCTAGTTGTTGTTTTAATGGAGGTTTCACAGAGCATTGTCAGAGGCAATGCACCTATCAAGAATGGAGTTATTCTGTAATCCTTAATGTCATTGATAGGGACTGTGACTTTAAGTGAAATGATACATATTGAAACCAATTTTACCATAGGCTAATTTACATAAACAAGAACTAAGTTCGTACAGCATCTCATCAATGTTATAAAAAAAGGATGTTGAACAAAACAATGTTATCTGAGGACCTGTTGTATATTTCTGTATAATTATACACATTGGGAATATACTACCAATGGCTCTACCCCAAATTGCTTATCTGAGCTATTATCTCTAGGAAGTAGGGATGAGTAGAAAGAATGAGAATGTAGGATGTCATTTTTTTACTTATATATTTTTGGATTAATTTTTACATCAGTGAAAAGAAGCCACTGTGGAGCAGTATAAGGGAAGCAGAAAAGGGAAGGTCTTTTCAACAAGTGGTGTTGGGATAACTGTATGTTCATACGGAATAAAAATTACTCTTGACCTCACCTTACCCGATGTACAAAACTAAACTGCAGGTGGATTGTAGATCTAAACATTGAAAGCCAAACAATAAAGCTTCTAGAAGTATTCATGACCTTGGGATCTTGATTGCACAGGTGTTTATAATATTTTGTTAAGCTCTAAATTTGTTTTGTAAGCTCTTTTGTATATTATATTGGATTAGCCAAAATGTATGGTATTTTCCAAAAAAGACATATTTTTCATATTCACTAATAACTTTATTGATTTGGATATTTTGAGCATGTCGGCTATCTCCCACATGGTAGAACATTGATTGTTCTCAATTACTGTCTTGATTTGATTGCTATCAACTTCAACTGGTCCACGTGACTGTAGAGCATCTTCCAGTGAGAAATCTCCAGCACAAAATTTCACAAACCACTTTTGACACGTTCAACCAGTCACAGTGTCTTCTCCATACATTGTACAAATCGTTTTTGTGTGTTTCAGCTACGTTTTTCCTTTCTTTAAATAATAAAGCATAAGATGCCAAAAATATTGCATATTTTCTTCCATCTTCAATATTAAAATGGCTACACAAAAATTCACCAACTTGGTAAGTTGTTTTCTTTTTATTTTAATGCATGCTGACATGACAACTATCACAATACAATCTAACAAAATTGTTTCAAATGAAGTTAAAGACAACTAAGCATGACGAGAGCCATGTTGCAGGAAAAAAACCAAATGAACTTTGGAAATAACCAAAAAAACTTTTTGGCCAACCCAATATTTTATCCCCTAAAAGGGGGATCAAAAACAGAGGAAGGATACCTGGCACTCAATAAAATCTATTTAATGGGCTGTAGATGGAGTGGAGCGTATGAGCAGGTGTTGCAAAATCGAGTAACTGTTGGCTGTCCCGGTATCTGACGGTCCACGACTCACAGGCTTCTCAGCGTGTTCTGCCGTGATTAGGAGTCCACGTCCTTCACCAAGCCCCCACAGGAAAACGCAAGGCCAAAGGAAAGCACAACTATGAGACTGCTCCAATGAAACCCCTTGAAACTTCCCAGCCATTTTCTTTTTTTACTTTGTAATCCTGAACTTGGTAAGAAGTGAAAGGATGGGGTAAAAAATATAGACTTTTTACTCTTTCTTCAGTTTAAATTTCACCTAAAAAGAGCTTCATAAAGCATCAAGGTTCCAACAGACAGGAACACACAGACAAGGCAAAACCCAAAAGCCTGAAGCAGGGGGAAGGCACCACCAGCTGATTCCCAGCTCTCCCTCTGACGTAGAAAAAGGCTTGTGCGGAGCCCAGAAGGAAAGGACATGATCAGTTCAAGCACAAGCAGACCAAGGCTAACAGGATCTTTGACGCTGGGCCCTGGAGGCAGGTATCAATCAGGGTCACTCAGGGAACAAGATTCCGCTTAATTAACCAGGTGAGGAGGCAGAGACAGTGCCAGTGGACCTGGGGTGGGGGGACATTTAGTAGAACCCTTTAAGGGGACAGTTGATGGCAAGGACAGAAGTGGGATGAGATGGACCCACATTTTCTTTACTCCAACTGACATTTCTAGAAAACACAGTGACTGTTGGGGTGTGTCTGGGTTGCGCTGCAAAGTACAGAAGGAAAAGGAGTTAGTGTGGAAATTCTTTCTTAAACCCAAAGGTGTTCAGTCTCCATATAAATAAATTCAAGTGTCTTTTACTAAGTCACACGGAAATAGCCGATGACTCTCAATAAATTTCAGAGGCATATTTCTGGTGGTGTACCTGAAAATGCATAGGTTACATGATATAACAAAATTCGCTTTGGAGGACCTCAGTGACAAGAGGACAGGCAGAGAATGAAAATTTTAGTGATTCTATGTTGAAATGACTATTTTGAATATATTGGGTTAAGCAAAATATTGATTTGATCCCTTTATTTTCTGAAATACTCTTATTAGAAAATGAAAATCACATCTGTGGTGTGTGTTGCCCTGGACAGGGCCGCTCTGAGCCAGGGGTGAGCAGACCCCGGCCTGCAGGCCAAACCCTGTCCGCTGCCTGCTTTGCACAGCCTGTGAGCTATGGATGGTTTTTACATTTTTAAGTGATTGAAACTAAATCCAAAGAGTAATAATTTGCAACACATGAAAGTTACATGAAATTGAAATTTCAGGGTCCAGAGTTTTATGGGAAACCAGCCGTGATCACTTGCTTCTGGACTGTCTATGGTACTTTGCACTACAGTGGCAGAGTTGAGTCCTTTCAACGGAGATGTCCCGGGCCATAAGGCCAAACACATTTACTGCCTGGCTATGAACAGAAAAAGCTCATCAACCCCTCCTCTAATCCCTTACCTCCTTACTTTTTCTCCCTAGGATGTATAACTATTGCCTCTCCCATGATATGACAACCGATGGAAAGGCACACGCTTTTTTCTCTTGTGTTCAGGAAATTACTGCCAGTGCCCAGAACAGTGCCTGGCACATATTCAGTGCTCTATAAGTATTTGTTGAGTCAATCAACTTAAAAATTCCTATTTGGAGGTTGTGTAGGAAGCAGCTCATTATTTAAATATGAATTACCACTACTACAACCTACTGTCTCTACTTCTCAACCTGGAAAGCTAAGGTTAATTAAGACCCAAACAAACCCACACATTATGAGGCTGGGAAAGAAATGCTGACCCTTGGCCTGGAACACGCTGTGATTAGAGAGACCAGGACCTCTGTCATGACAAGAAAGCACAGGCTTTAGAAACAAAATGTCTATTTTATTTTAATGAATTCCATGATTTTTAAATGCCATTTTTGCCTCTCTTATAGGGGAGAGGTAAAGCTGTCCCAGTTATCAAAAAACTCAAATCTCCTTTTCTTCACTGGGCTGTCTGTCAACGTGCTTTCGTCCAGCGAGTCTCCGGAGCCCTGGGAACCACTTCCAGACGCTCCCAAAGCACTTGCTGGGTCAAAGGCCTCCGCTGCCTCCAGGAGCTCCTTATCGTTTCTGTCCTCAAAGGACCTCTGGAATAGGTCGTAGATCTTCTGCTGCGTTGGGTCCTGCATCAGAGAAAGAAAGGGAAAGATAAAAGAACCCAGGCTCCAAGGCAGATGGTGGCCACTGTGGCTGCTGAGGGGACACACAGGTGGGGGGGGGCCGCACATTTCATGCTGCTGGGTGCTGCGCGACAGCAAGCGCAGGCCCGCTCAGTAAGTTACATGTCACTAAAGCAGCCGCTCTGCCTCAGTGTCTGGCATCTTCTCTACTGCCCGTTGGGCAAAGAAAAAAAAAAAGATGGAGAAATGGCTGTCCTTTCAAATGGGACATGATATTAAAGATCATTAAGGTCCGTTCCATGCTGTGTATGTGCCCTCCTCTGGAGTCTCATGCCCCTCCGTGAGAACACCTGCAAGGCCAAGGAAATGCCATAGGCAAGGCTGCGCATTCCAGGTAGAAATACCAATTAATGACATTCGATGATGGTGAAGGTAATGCTAGGTGCTAACTCAGAGCAGGCAAGCTCCAAGACCAGACTGGTATTTCCCTTCCCTTCTTAGTGAGACATAACATCTTTGCTTTTGTCTCCTACATAGGCAGCAACATTTTATTTTCCTAGGAGTGGATGAAATTTTCAGCTCTATTTTAATAAAAAAATTAACTGACATGATTAATCAAAACAAATATTGATAAATATTGATCGTACCTGTACTTTAGGCTGAGATTTTTAACTAATTCAGAGTAAATGAGAATAAGGCCGGATGAATAAATGAGCTTATTTATAAATAAACTCATAAATTAACTTATTCTCAATGGTTGAGAATCCCTGAAAAATAAGGCCCTTTCGCAGGGCATATAATAATGAAGGCTCTGTTACAATAGTTGCCCTTCAACTGAATTACATAGTTCTTTAAAAAGCTTAAAGATTAGGTGGTTTTAAAAGTGGTTTATTAACTGTTTATATCTAAAAGGATAATTTATACTCTCCATTTAAAAATATGATCTCTGAGCTTACTCATCTCATGATTACATTTGGAGGAAGGATTTAGTTGTTAAGGAAATGAAGTGGAAGATCAGGCCCTCAGAGTCGAAGTCTCAGTGTCGCCTCCAGGATCCTGTTGTTACAACTCAGCTCCTGATGCTCGGCAGCTCCACAGGGGACGGCCCCTCGGTTTCCTGACGAGGACCAGACCGTGGGGCCGCCTTCCTGCGTTAGGCTCACACTCTGTCTCGGTTCTCGTGAGAAACAATTCTCTCAGGAGTTGCCGTCCAGCAGGTGGTACCTCTGAGCCCTCCCCTTCCATGTCACCACCAGACTGAGTGAAACATTCGTCCCTGCGCCTGCTGCTCCTCTCCATCGAGTTTCACTGGAACGGAGGAGGAGGCCGTGGCAGCCGTTGAGCGCAAGTGCGAGGCCAGGCTGGCTGGGCCCGCCTGTCCCCCCCGGCCAGAGGCCAACCCCTTCCTCACCGCCCCTGCAGCCAGGCCCGCCTGGCCGTGGGAGGACGCTCACTGGCCCCTTCCTCTCCTAGACAACAAGAGGGGCTGCAGCAGAAGGAAAGCGGGGCTGAGCTGGGGAGCCGGCCGCGGGGGGCTCTCTTCACGAGGCCTGTGACTGTGGGCAAGTCTCTTTTTCCTGCATGCCTCAGTTCACCCCTCTACAAAATAGGAGACACTGAGAATAAACTGCAATGACTGAGGGGAAATAAGTTATATAAAGCAATACCTGATTTTGAATATTCCTCATTCTGTGCTGGGGACTGCTCAGGGGGCAGCCCTGCTACATGGTGTTGTTATGTACTTTTTGCAAAAACTCAACAGCTGCCACCAGGAGAGTTCTGTCAGTCTAATGACCTGATGGAAGGGCAGCATTAGCAAGCCCTGGTTTGATGAGAATCTCTGAGGGAAGGCCCGAAGCAGGAGGAGCCGGTGCCATCACTCGTCCATACAGGATGCACACGTGGACTGACCTGAGAATGACTGCAGGCCGTCACGTTCAGCTCCTGGGCTGGGGGAGGGCCCAGGAGTCATTCATACCTTCCTGCTCAGGACCCAAGGGCTGGCAGGCCGCTTAATGCCTCCGTCTGCCCCAGTGGCGAGGAGCCATGTGCTGCTGTTACCTTGTAGATGTAATCAGTGGCTTCTGTCGTTTCTGAAAAATTGGCCTCAGAAATCCCAGCTTCACCCAGAATTTTAATCTTCTCTTGAATCATGGGCCTGTTGGGGAGAAATAAGCATCAGTGAATCCACCCTGCACAGAACTGCGGACTGATTAAAACGAGACCACCCTCCTCGTTCTTAGGCGGGCAGTGACATGTTTAGTGTTTCCTATCTTTGTATCTCTCCAGGCACAAATGTCCACCAGAGATATCTGCCCTCTCTCAGTTGTGAACCAACCAATTTTGGGCTCATACTGAAAGATGTGTAGGAAATAAATGCTGCCTCATTGCAACAAAATTTTGAACCTGGTGTTGTTATGAGCTGCGTAATTAACAAATGCGCTAAACCAAGAGAAGGAAGTAGGGACAACCCGCACACACTGCAGGGGTAAGACCGACCTCTCAATCACAGGGCTGGACAAAGGGGAGTAGTGGACACTGAGATCATTGAGAAACTTAGTATCAAGAAGGGGAAATGGGATTGGGAACAAGCATTTGGGTAATTTTTGCTTAGGTAACAGCCATGAACCCCCAGCTGTGTTAACAAAGCACCATGTGGCCTAGCATAAGCCGCCCTGTCCCAGTGGTCCAGCAGCTGCAGGATGGGGCCTTACTGTCCCGCCACATATCACAAAGGGGCAAAGGGGGCTGTCACCCTGTCTTGGCAAGCGCTTTCATGGCTGGAAACTAAGTGTTTTAAAAATTTGATCTACATTTCATCACAGTTAGTTCTCTTTCTTTGTCTCAGGCCAGTGGGGAAGGAGCCACACCCCCTCATTCCTGCATTTCCTTGTGCACGCTGGAGGCCCCAGTGAATGCTGGGAAGGAGCCACATGTGGTCCTGATGAAAGTGGGAGGAAGCCCTCAGCAAGAGCAGAAGCCCTTACGTAGCAAAGGAAACACACCATCGGGGTCCACCCTTGCTCAACCCCCAACTGCCAGGCCAGGGCTGGCCGTACCAAAGGTAGTCATCGGCCGTGCCTCTCGCCACCAGGTAGTGGATGCCCACGGAGCTCGACTGTCCAATGCGGTGCACCCGGTCCTCGGCCTGCATCAGCACCTGCAAGGTCCAGGGATCAGGGTGTATGCAAGCCAAGGCCTGAGGCAGCTCAGCCCATCACAGCAGGCAGCCCCTGGCCCCCAAACCCCACCACGACTCTTCTTCCTCAGAGGACTTCGCTGTTGTGTATTATGGCAGAGGGCGCATGAGCCTCTGCCTACAAATGACCTGTCATCCGACAAAAGGCAGACCCATACAAAACACTGGCTGGGGAATGGAATCTGCGGCTGGATAGCTGTGGACAGCCTTTCTGTGTTGTGCACAGTGCTGGATGCTGTGAGGAAGGGACAACAAAGGAAACCTAGCACATTCCCTCCTTTCTGTGAAATAAAACCGGTTACCTCCTCGTTAAAGCAACATATGCACCAAAGGGAGAAGCCATATGTGATAGGAGGTAGCGTGGTTTTTTGTTTTTGTTTTTAATATGGTGGAAGCTCTACAAGGAATAAGGAAAACCAAGAGCACTGTTTCCGTTAAAAAACACATTCCACCCCGAAGTTCATCACCTATGTGTGGCCAGCAAGAGCCATACTATGTGAAAACATGTGAGGGGAAATACATGCCTTGGAGCTCAGGAGAAAATTTTATGAGTGCAAACAAATGTCTTCTCTCTGCTGTCACAGCCCTCAGCTGAGCAGATGAGGCCAGTGGGTACAATGACTAAGTCCAGGGAACACTCACAGCGGTCACCCTATTGTGGCCCCAATGGCTAACGCAGCTCACAGTGATGGTTAATGAAAGGGGCAGGGTGGAAAGCCAGAGGCCTGGGCTGCAGCCTGGTGCTGCCACATGCTCCCCTTTGGTGACAGCTATGCACTTATCTGTGCCCCAGCTTCCTCGCAGAGAGATGACCTCTAAGATTCACTTTAGCTTTCCCGTTGATAAGATGGAGTCGATACTACTACCTAGGATGCTGCTGTGAAGACCTAAATAGCTAGTCAATAGATGTGGGAGTTCTCACTTCTCAGTGAAGACTGATGACCGGAAAGTAAACGTGTTTCTGAGGGCTAACCGAAACGGATGGAAGAGGCGACTGGCCCTAGGGACAGCTCAGAGAAACCTTGTCTTCCCGACCGGCCCTAGCTCCTTCCTCCCCACAGCCATGAGCGCGCCCGGGGAACTTCAAGTCTTCTGCCCCCCTTACCCCTGGGTTCCAGAACAGCTCGGCGAATACCACCAGGTCGGCCGAGGAGAAGGTGAGGCCCATGTTGGCGGCGGTGATGGAGAGCACGGCCACAGCGTGCCCCTTGGCCAGCTGGAACTGCTGGCACAGGCGGTCTCGTTCCACTGAGGAGGTGGAGCCATCGATGCGGATGTGCTGCACCCGCTGTGGACACAGGGAGGAAGTGAGAGAAGCTGCACCCAGACTCTTAAAGGGTCCGGGGATCACCACCAAGTTAAGAACCACTGGTCTACATCATTATTTTTTTTATGGCTGAATGGATTATTATTTATCAGTATACCTACTGATAAACATTTAGTTTTCTAATTATTCAATATTATAAATAACAGCAGGACTAATATTCTTGTACATAAATCTTTCTAACTGGTGTGGCTATTTCCTTAGAATAAATCCCTAGAACAGGAGTTTGACAAAATCAGCATGTGCATTAAGTAACAGCCAAAATGCTATGCAAGAAAAAAAAATGTGTAAAAAAAAAAAGAACCATGATTTGACCAATGTGTATGTGTATGACAGAATGGACCCATTGTTCAGATAATCTGAATCAGTTCTTCAAAATTTCTTTGTTTTCATGCTTAGAAAGTCATTCCGCCATCTGGTGATCAGCTGTATGTTTGCCTATGTTTTCTTCTAATACTTTATGGTTTCAAAGAACTTTGATTCATCTGGAGTTTACTATGGTAAACAGTGAAGTGAAGTTTCCTTCAAGATTCCCACCCCCCGCCCCTTACCCAAACTTTATTTGTGGAGTTAATTAAACCTGATTCGTAACAATTTCTTGATCACATATTTGGTTTTAATTTATACCAAAAGGCTATCTATTCTGTCCCATGCATCTGGCCACCACCAGTTTTTGGCCCAGTACGACTGAGTTTTATAGCAGATATTTATATGTGGAGGCACAAGTATGTCAACATTGCTCTCCTTTTTAAAAATTGTCTTAGATGATATCTCTCCTGCTTTTATTTTGAAACATTGTTTGAGATAATAATATAAAGTTCCCTTAAACATCTAATTGGAATTTTTATAAAAATTGAATGAATGAAATCTACAAATTAACTCGGGAAGGACAGGCATTTTTACACTTTTTAGCCTTTACACAGAGGAGCATGGCACAAATATCTGCAATTCTTTGTTAGTTTCTACTTTTCTTTTTTGTGAGACTATTATTAGGTACTTTATAGCTTTTTTTGCTGCCTATCTTTGCCCCATTATGTTAAATAATTAGACATAGCTGGTAAAATAAAAAAGTAATTTATTTTAGTATATTTATTTGGAATCCAGGCACTCTACTAAACTCATGTAGTCTAATAGTTTTCCAATTAATTGTCTTGGAGTTCTTGAAAATAAAAATAGCTCTGATTTTTCCAGGGATTATAGCTTTAAATTCTATTGGCTGAATTCCTGCATTACATCAACAAAATTTAAAAGGGGTAGATTAATGATCTACCTCTAAAATTTTCAGAAAAAAAAATACAGGAGAAAATCTTCATGACTTCAGAAAAGATTTCTCTCTTTTTTCTTTTTAAACAGATTTTTAATTTTTTTAAAAAGATTTTATTTTTATTTTATTTTTAGAGAGGGGAAGGGAGGGAAGGAGTCAGGGGGAGAAACATCACTATGTGGTTGCCTCTTGTGCTCCCCTTACTGGGGACCTGGCCTGCAGCCCAGGCATGTGCCCTGACTAGGAATTGAACCAGTGACCCTTTCATTCACAGGCCGGCACTCAATTCACTGAGCCACACCAGCCAGGACTCAGGAAAGATTTTTTTCAACCAATCATAAAAATTAAAAACCATTATTGGAAAAAACCTAATAAACTTGAAATACATTATAATGAAAAATTAAAAATTTCTATTCAATAGAAACTTAAAGTGAAAAGATAAAACATAACTGACTCAGGATTAATATCCAGACTTTATCAAGAATATTTACAAATCAGTAAGAAAAAAATCCAACAGAAAAACAGGCAAAGGAGATAAAGAGAATATTCACAGAAGCCAGACTGAAATGCCCAAAAAACACATAAAGAATACACCGTTTACTGGTAGAGAAATGCGAATTAAAATAAGAATGAAATGGGATTTCATGTCATGGGATTGGGAAAAGTAAAAAGTCTGGTTAATACTAAGTGTTGCTGAACACCCAGAACAGCAGGAATCCTCAAATGCTGCTGCTGAGATTGTAAATTTGAATTAACCACCCTGGAGAGCAATGTGACGATACCTAGCAGAGTTGAAGATGAGCTCATCTAACGATCATGCAAGCTCCTACCCGGACAGGTTCTGCACACACACGGCATAACTATATGTGTACACTTGAATACAAAAAAACATTCACATAATAGCAGAAACTGTAAATAAAATTCACCATCAGCAGGAGAAAGGACAAACTATGGCACAGTCATCCAATGAGATACTATTTGGCAATTACAGCGAATGAACTAAACCCGTAACGCTAGGTAGAGAATCCTCAGAAATAATATTGAGCAGAAAAGTAAACTGTAGAATACTTACACTATGCTGCCACTTATGTGTACACTAATACATTAAAAAAAGGACTAGTGTTGTTTAACAACATATACTTTTAAAGTATGACAATGTGGATGGGAAGGATTCAGAATGGAGGTTGTATGTGAGGAGGAAGAAAGGGGAATGAACTAAAGGGCCACTGCAGGGGCATCCATCTTTTATTACTTGAAATAGGAACTTTGAAATAAATACAGCAAAACCTTTCATTTCTTAAATCTGGATGGGGAAATAGGAATTTGTCATTTATTTCTCTACACTCTTTTGTATATTTAAACTATTACATAAATATAAAAGACAGACAAAAGGTAGTTTATAATCCTAAATTTAACTGAAAATGAAAAGGGGGGTGAAAATATGATGTATTTAGTTTTCATGAACATCCTAGGAAATCCTTCTAGATATTTTTCACTTGATTTAATTAGGGTCGTAAAACTGTATTGAAGTCTGCGCACGGCCATGTACAATTAAGAAAGCCACATTGACAGCATTAAGGAGAGACAAAAGGAAGAGGATATTCATACAAATACTTGTCTTCACACAGGAAAGTGATTCCTGCTACCTCATCTCTTGTTGATTTTCTACGTATTTACAGAGAATGAGGGAAGACCCCCACGGAGATATTCTCAAAGCAAGACGCTTAAACATCCGCACAGAGCATAAAGGAAGTTAAATGACACCCTGGGAAAATATTCTGACCCACCCAACAGTTCTATAAGCAAGAACAGTTCGGAAAGTCTTCAGCAATGTTTCCAAAACCATCATCTCATGTCTTTGCTGATTTGACCTTAGCCTGCTCGGAACAACTTAGCAGCCAACACAAATAAGAGCGCCCTTGCGGAATTTCAAAGGAGCTTACCTTTTTCTCAAGCGCTTCAATAATTGCATCCAGAACCACCTTGTGGTGCGCAAACACTAGAAACTTCTCTCTTCCACTTTCCAGTAGGTCCAAGATATATTCACTGCATTTGACAACAATAACATAAATTAAACATACGCTCATCCAGTTGAGGTTAATTACTGGAAAGTGACTGCACCTGTAGCAGACACCTTTGGGGTACCTGCCCCGTCTAGCCCCTTCTCTCTCTCCTCTGGGAGCTCACCTCTCCCCCTTTCCCTCATGCCAGGTCACTTGAATAAAAGCAAAATCAGGAGCTGTGGGAAATAAGCCATCTCCTGGCATGTGCAGAAAGAGTTCTTCCGTACTTCTTAGCCATCTCCCCTATACAAATAAATGCATGTATCCTGATGTTTTATGCATCTCTGATATGCTACTGAAACATTTTTATTACCTGGGATCATGACGATAATTAACAGTTTGCACCTTGGCTGCTACCACCATTATAGTGTTTTCAATATAAATTAAAGTGCTGTCTATAGATCTGAAAATGGCCTGGCAGGGGATTAAGGGATTCCTGACAGTAATCAAATTTCTGGAAGAGTGGTATTGAGACCTAAGTGGTAACACTGAAGAGATGGTCAAGGAAAGCGCTCCAGCTCCCTCCCGCATCAGCTGGCCAACCGCAGGGCCAGGAGGTCAGTCAGTGGTATGTGCATTCTCTCCTGAGGCGAAGGAATATATAGGGTGAAGGATCTTATTTGCTTGGTCTTTTTTTTCCCTTTAATTTACTTCTCTATGCACTGTGTTTTTTCTCCACTTCTCGTCCTTCTTTAGCAGGGAACTTAAAGGAAGGCAGCTACCGGGAGAGCTGCAGGGGAGAGTCGCCCAGCTGGCATGCCCTGGAGGCTTCCCCGGGACTGGTGCCCTGCAGAGGGAGGGTTCACAGTCCCAGGACAGGGCACTGCTCCTGCAGGACAGCGGGAAGGTGAGCTTCCAGGGACAGAAGGAGCCTTCACTATGCCCGATGCCACCCTCACGCATAAATCTCAAAGGTTTCCTGTTATCAGTAGGTGGCAGAAATGTAAGTGGACTGTTCTCTAAACATCTAAGAGTTATTTTCAAATAACAGTATAATTTGTGAGTTGTTGGTATTAAATAGAACCTACTTTAATTAGTTTGAGACACATAAAATTTGCCAGACATAAGCAAAAAATGTTTATTGCTATAGCATTAAAAAGTCACAAGGCCATAAAATCAACTTAGTCAGCTCATCGTCATCACCAGAGGCCCCAATATTCCTACAGCCCCTCTCCCCTCTGCATCTCGGACATGGCTTGCCTCATTGCTCTGCTCTTCCCCACGTCCCTAAGTTACCAGGCCTACCAGAGTAACCTTGGGTTTTATATTGAAAGAGGCCCATTAAAATGAAAACAGACAACAGCAAAAAAACAAAAACGAAAACTCAACAACAAAAAGAATGAAAAACAACAAAGACTAGTTTTAAGATTTTTTTAAAAAAAATTTACCATCTTAACCATTTCTTTTTTTTTTTTACTATCTATTGATTTTAGAGAGAGAGAAAGAAGAAAGGAAGTGTGGTTGCTTCTTGTATTTGGTTACTTCTTGTATGTGCCCTGACTGGGTATCAAACTCGCAACCTTGGTGTACCAGAATGATGCTCTAACCAACTCAGCTACCAGGCCAGGGTTGAGTTTTAAGACTTATAATCTAATTTCCACTTACTAGCTATGTTATGTGACTCTCAAGTCTATAGAGATTTCCATGAAATGTACTAAGTTTCCACATTTAAAAAATGGGGTCACTATGACTTAGTCTAACTGACTTTACAAAGAGGCTGTAAATGTGAAATGAGTTAACAGGTATCAAAATTGTTGGAAATGATAAAGCACTATATAATTTATAATGGAATTCTGAAAAAAGTATATATAAGTTATGGACTGAATGTTTGTGGGCCCTTCCAAAATTCACAGATGAGCTGGTATTGAAAGGCAGGGCCCATGGGAGGTGACAAAATCAGGGCTAGTAGAAAAAAGAGATCCTAGAGAGCACCCTTGTCCTTTCCATTGTGTGAGGACACTGAGGAGACGGCCGTCTGCAAGTCAGGAGGACCCTCACCTGCTCTGAATCTGCTGGCGCCTTGAACTTGGACTTCCCCGCCTGTAGGGCTATGAGAAGTATTTGTTGTTTAAGCCACCCCAGTGTATCAGTCTATGGTGTTTTTGTTATGGTGGCCTGCACGGACGAAGACAAAGTATTACCAAGCTTATTTATGAGGTGGCAAGGTGGTTAGATTTACACTTTCCAAGGAAAAAGGTTGGTTCTAGGCCCAGCACTCAACAAACGCTGAATTTTGTGGGTCCTAAGCTGAGCGAGCAAGGCAGAGGACTGGCACCCCCGCCATCTGTTATTTGGCGGCACGTGAGAAACGGGGAGGTGGGGGCAATGCAGGTTTGTTTCTGAGAGAGGTTTCCAGGCTGTAAAAACTCATCTGGAGTTCACCAGTCTCGTCCCAGTGCCATAGATGAAAAGGGCCATGCCCAGAGAGCTGGCCAACATTCGGTGGCCTCTGTGGAGAACCTTAGATTTGAACAACGCAGTGAACTGGCTCTCTGCAGGGAGAGGCTGGGGAGGCCGGAGAGCTGGCAGCTGAGGGAGAGGGTGGGAGCGGCTGTGTGTCTCAGTGTATCCACAGCGCTCTGTCCCCCCCGCCCATCTGCCACTGCTCAGCCCACGCCGATTCATTCTCACTGAGATGTAATCGCTTGGTCCATTATCCTGCCAGAGGCTCGCATGAATGCTAAGCAATAAAAAATGAGGCAAACTGCGTATCATTAGAGCTGCCTCAGGTTTCTACCACAGTGATACCTGAACATGGGTGGGTTTTCTTTCTTTAAGAAAAGCAGACAATTGAGGTTTTTATAAAGTCAGTGAATAATTTTAAGAATAGAAATTATTACTTTGGGTGTAGTTTCTAAGGTGGAAGGAGAACTCAGTGTGAATGTGACAATGGCCAGTTGCCCATATCCTTTGAACAAACTTTGAGATTCTCTTTTTTATGTAGGCGAGTAACGCCTGAAACTTCATGTCTTTGGAGAAAACCCCAGAAGTACCACCAGGCAGCTTCTCGATCTTTCACAAAGCCCCCATATTTTCCCAAAAGCAAATGAGCACAGTTTTCCTAGTAAGAGGAAAACTTCCCTTCAGTGTTGGGCTCATCCCACCCTCCCCATAAGTGACAGCAGCTCCAGCTCACTTGGGTTGGGACAGGACCTATTAGGGTCCCCAAGCATGTCCTGGTGGTGCTCTAGATGCAAGCCTCCTCGTGCCCTGTGTGTGGGTGACGAGGCCGTGTGCCCTACACCTTATACTCAAGGCAGCTGTTACTGGAATCTCCGATCACTTCTCACACGGCAGTGCAAGCATTCTGGCAGACCAAGGTAATAGGTGTTCGTTTTTAAAGATGAGAGAGAGGTGCTGACACTTGGTGACCACTTACATGACACACGGGATTTTAGCTTCAGCTGTTCTGTTGAAGTAGAGAATGAGGGCTGTTCTCTGCTGTCCCTTCTGTGAAAAGAGAAGTCAAGGGTTTAACGTCTCCCACTCTGAGGACTCAGCTAAGCTGACGTAATTATCGCCACTATGAGCTTGATGAATCCTAAAGCCTGAACACCACTTGCCAGAGCCGGGTGACCCTGACTTACCCTCCCACTCACTTTAGCCAAGCCACAGGAACTACCTGAGCTCTGGTCAGGTCACTGGAGACATGGCAGAACAACTCCTCTGTCCCCCTCTGAGAACTGTGGTGAGACTCCACAGGGGCAAGGAACACGAGAGCTCTTTGGAAAGGCATTGCAGGCAGAGCTTCACCAGACGTGCCACTCTCACATGACCAGCTGAGATGCAGCCTCGCTAAGCACAGCTGTTCACTGAAGCCTGGGGACAACTTACACGTGACACATCATTGCCTGTGTTTCTTGCCTCCCCATTTTCTTCTGCCAAGCTCTGTCCATATCCAACGGACAAAGCTTTACTGCCATTCAAGCCTTCCTAAGTCAATTCCAACAGACTGCAACCAGTTTATTCTAATACCATGTCAAAACCTTTACTCGTGTATTTTTGGCCTGTCTTCCACATACGGTAAATGACTTCCAAAGAGAAGAAACCATGTCTCCTCTATAGTTTGCATCTAAATAAATCCCAATAAAGAACGCAAACAGAGAAGATGCTCATCATAATATAAGGTAAGATTTAGTATCAGTCTGGGCTCCCAGAGATGAAAAATACTCTTACCATCACCGGCAGGGCTGCCGTCTCCTTCCACTAGCAAAAATGCTGCCTGCTCGAAAGAGCTGCTTGCTTTAAACAGTGTCTTTCCTTTAGGTCTTGATGAGAAAGGAGAAAGACACCCGGGAGCCACAGAAATTCACGGGGGGCGCTGACAGGGAGGTGGAGCCACTTCACGTCTATGTGTGTCACGGCAGTGGAGGCCTGTTTTGTGGCAAGTAGTCCAGTTTAACAGCTCACACTTCCTGGGAACCGGTGTTGAAGATACAACCCCATGGCACTATATCCTTAACTAGTTTCTCAGCTACGGGCCCAGTTTAGCTCTGATGAGGCTCTGCTCACACGCAACCTTTCTCCTCTGGCCGATGAGCTCGCAACCTTCATGAGTCCACTGGTATGCCCTCAAAGGGTCCCTTGCCGCAGGCTAGGCCCTCTAACCTAATGTGGTCCTCAGCAGGGGGCACAGAGCCAGGCTTCCTTAGGATGACCTCACACGCAGCGTCTTCAGACTGCACCCCAGGCACCTTCGGTCCACAGTTGTACCCCCGTGTCCTTCAGAGACTGTCCTTACTTGTCAGGGCCATCCCTCCCGCCCACACTTTCCAAAACAAACAGGAGAAATGGAGAGAGGCCCTTTCAGAAACCTTCCCTAAGATCTACCATGCAGAGCCGAGGCGGGCCTGAGAAACAGGCGTCTCCACTGCACATGCTCGGGTGGGGGGACGGCACAGTGGCTGACCTTTGGGAATGGCCTGTCGATGTGTACCAAAGCCTTCATAACATGCCCAGCCCTGTGGCCCAGCAAGCTGCTCCTTGAAGTTTATCTTCCTGACAGACCAATGCACACAAATGCACACGTATGCGACTTTTTCAGTGTAGTATTACTTTGACTAGAGTACAGCTGAATTAGCTTAAATATCCAACTAAAAACGGCTGGCAAAGTTTTAATAAACCATGTGAGAAAACACTGCCCTGTGTTTAAATATATGTTAAAAGACCATTTAACAACATGGAAAAGTGTTCATGATATAGTTTTATAACCTGTTTTGTTCCTCACTTGATGTATGTTTATATGATTCCAATTCTATTTTAAAAAATACATGATTGTAAGTGATATATATATTTACATATAAATGAATATAGAAATATATATTATAAAGCAAAATATACATACATTTTATTAAAAATCCAAATAATAAATGCTGAAATTAGGTGATATAAAACATGAATGAATCTTTTTTATAGTGCAGTAGTAAAACATATTTAATAAATGCTATTAATTGTACATACTTTTATTTCAGATTTTATACAGTAGACATCTACTGAACTTTTAATGTGGGAGAAATCAATAGTTTTATCTTTTTAAAGAAACTCCCCCAAACTGGGTAGACAGACTACTAGTCCATTAATGATCTCATTTCTTTTGCCAGCCATGGGTAAGGAGATTTTAAATTACCTGCATTTTTTGTTCCTGTCTCCTAGACTTTTATTAAATTAGACCCACTGGGGTTTCCAATTTCTTTTTCCATGTTGGACATTTGAAAGGACTGTCGAACAGCAGAAGGGTGAACTGATATTGTCACCAGGAAGTCTGCATGGACTTGTTCTACTTTCCTGCTCCTATTCTTGCTGATCAAAAAATGGCTTTAGACAAAAGATGATTAGAGCCAGATTTTCTTGGCCTGTGAAGAGGTCTCTATTATTTCAGCTGAAAATGAGAAAAGGCTTTAATTGTTGTACATTATACTTTATAAATTGGCTCTTCCACCTTGGCTTCTGTGACTTCGAGCTTTTTCAAAAATGTCTTCCTCCAGATGGGAAGGTGTGAGGGAACTGAGAAAAAAGTCACTTCTTGACAGGTCAGCACTGCTCTGCCGGAGCTGCCATGCTGGACAAAACTGCAGGGACACCTCGGCCTGAAAAGTAACTATAAAAATGGGGTGTGGGGGGCGACTTTCTCGAGATCCATAGGGCCTCCTTATTTGACTAAAACCATAGAACCGCAATTCCCCATTTTAAGTCTTTGGGCGCAGGATATCATAGCTGGTCAAGGTTTGGAAGGAATGTCCACGGCCAATGCGTCCCACTCCCAGCTGACACTGACCGCCCTCCCTGAGCTGTCAGGGAGGTGATCCTGATCGGATCCAGTTTACAGGTGTGCCAAATGGTGGCTCTGGAGTAATGAAGTTTCAGATGGTACAAACCACAAAGCTCACCGCTTGTTTTCTCCTTGGATTTTCCATTAAAAAAATGAGTTCACATTACAGAACACAAAGCGGGGGGCACATTTTCAAGGATTTATTATTATCAGAAAGAATTTAGTATCTGGCTTCAGCATGATGCTGAGGGTAATCTGTATCAACTCAATTTTTCTCTTTCGGGGACAAACTCTTCATTTTTCTAGGATCCCATGGAAGCAGATAGCAACTCTCAGGCACAGTGCTGGGAAGAGCTCTAGGCTCTTTCTCTGCTGGATTTTTGAAGAATTACACTGCAATTTAGCCTTCATTTTCATAATCTGCAAAACACATTAAGACTCTGGGACTCTGAAGGAGCAGAGATGATAATCACCCTACAGGTGGGATTCTGAGCAGTTGGCGTTCTCCTGATATATTTTTCTAGCAACAAGCCCAGACGGCAGGCCATGGCTTCATTATTTAGGTAAGAAGACATCAAAATACCCCAAATAACTTAAGGAATTTGCACAGCTACCAGAGTTATAATACACCCAACATTCCTGATTTCCACGGCTCAGCCTAATCCATTTCACATCGCTGTCTGTAATCTCAGAAAACCAGACTCCCAGGTTGCATCTGAAATCACTGAAAGAGTCCCTCACCTAACTTCAGGAACTGCGCAAGTTGGCAGAAAGTTTTAAAACTGCTTTCAAACCTTGCTGCACTAAGTACAGAATTCCCATACATCTCTCTCGTTTTCATTTTGGCCACACGGCACAACTTACAGCGGCCTGTTGGCCAGTTAATGGGACTTTCATCCTCAATTCAAATGCCCACTAATTGCTTTTTCAGTTGTCTATCGTGGCTGTTCTCAACCTGGTTCAGGAGGTGGACCAGGTACCAACTTACTTCCATCACACATACAAGGAACTAAAACATAGCATTTCATAAATATTCAGATCCTCACATCTAAAATTAACACGTCTGAACTTTTCCAGTAATATTATATTTGTTGCACTGACTCATTGGCTTTCTTATCTGGCACAGTTCACTAGTGGACAAAAGTCAGTATACCTTAAAGGTCTGAGAAAGTTATAAGGAAAAAGTTAAAATTGAGAAAAAGATTCCCATTCGTTGAATTTTTATGTCTGGAAATCGGAAAAGATGGCTAAGACTGACCTTAGCAATGGAACACTGGTTCCATTGCAGCGCAATTTCAGAACCGCCAGTCTGCACACCCACCTCAGCGCTGTGAGCTGTGTTTGAAAACTCTGTGGGGAAGGGATTATGCCTATCATTTCCTCCAGGCCATCCAGATTATTATATGTAATACAGCATAAATGAAATACAGCTTGACAACTGACCTGTGCATCCTCTTCCCTACCCTCTGCTTCTTAGAGGTATCCAGTTAGTCTGCTCAATCACATGGTAAAGTGACATTTTTAAAAAATCACACATTCTGTCTCTTGTCATTCTTATTTATTTCGTAATCTTCCAGAAGGCTGAGATCTCATCTAGATCTAAGTTTCTTTATCCAGGGTAATATTAAGCCCAGATAATGCTTTATGATAATGTCAAAAAATGTCAATCATTGTTGTTTCCTTGGCAATGAAAATTACAAGGCTTTGTCCCAAGAGGACAGAAATGGAGCTGGTGTAGATTATCTTGTGGTACTTAGCGTAGTAAGACACTAATGACAGATATGAAATGAAAGTGTTTTGAAAAGATAAAACCACCATAGTGGAAAGAGCCCTAAAATATCGGGGTAACAGGCTTGGATACAGACTCAGCTCTGCCACAGAGTAGCCATGAGAGCTTAGGCAAATCAGTTTCTATGAGCCTCAGTTTCCCTGTCTGTAAAATGGGAGTCCTGCCAACCACAAATGACTCTAACAAGGAGGCAAAGGATTAAGAGGGGTTGAAAATTCAACTCTGTTAAATAACTGTCAATTTGTTATTCTGACTAAAGCAAATGACATGGGATGGTTAGAGGGTTAATATGTATATCAAATACAGGTAGAACTAATTTCTAACAACCATTCCTATGCTGAGGCATTCTCAAAATACACTATGCATAAACTCTAGCTTTCTCTGAGGGATTCAGAATATATAATCATCAACCCATAGTTTTCCTGGGGTTTATTTTATGACCATCCACCACCAGTGATCTACATAAGCATAAACCCACAAATGACTAGATTTTTGAAGTAAACTAGGTAGCCTGAGAAATGAAACCGGCTCACTGTCCGTGCCCAGGGAGGTAGGAAGAGATGATGGGAAAGGCAAGTTCAAAGAACTCTGGGTAATGTTTGTAGGGCTCCTCCCGGGAAGAAACACCTTTGAGCACAACTCCCAAATCCCCATCTCAGCCCCAGACTCACAGACGCGTCCTTGGTGGTCATTTCCTGGGCCGCGGCACTCAGGGACGCTCTGGCCTTGGCACTGATCCGGCCTGGGGCCACCACCACCATCTTGCGCTGTTTGGCTGGGAGCTGGGAAAGGACGTCCGCTTTGAGACGCCGCAGCATGACCGCTTCCTCCAGCAGGAGCTTCAGCTCTCCCAGGTTGGAGGAGCCTGAGTAATCCCATCCCCAGGCATGCTGTAGGGGGAGAACCGAGACACAGCCCGTGAGATCCCCCAGCGCCCAGCGAACAGGGCTGCCGTCTCCAGGTGGGTTTCTCCTATCACCACTTTCTCTTCCCAGGCTTTGTTCCATGTGAGAAATAGGAAGGAGAAGGGAAACGTCGGTGAGGACGAGGTGGACAAAAACCGTGTCTCATGGCATTTTACAATCTGGCACTAACTTGCTTTCTAGCAGCAGGTGCAGGGTGCCAGCGGCTTGGTGACCATTACATTAAAAAACCAACAAGATGCTCAGCTTGTCAGACTATACCTGGATACGAAATACAGAAATAATATTCCCTAGGGCTTATCCTACAGAGTTCGCTGTACGGCATCATAGCTAATGTCAGCAATGTATTTATTTGATGAGATTTATAGGAATTTAAAAACCTGTTGTTCCAAAGTATGAGTCACACCAACACATCCAAGGCCAACGCAGTCAATGCAATTGCAGTGTGAGCGGCAGAGGGACTGGGGGAGGCGCATGGAACACAAGTTTTTGCCAGTCCCACTGAAACCCCAGGTGGATTTCAAAGGCCCCAGGCAGCCTTTATAAACCTGGCTCCCTCATTTGGTAGCTCATGGAGGCACTGTGCAAGGATACCTACTACTTGCTTCACAGTTGAAGATGTTACCAGTTAAAATAAAAATGTTGTCTTTCTCTAACAATCTTCCTGGAAACAAGACTGATTTCTACAGTCGTGTAAAAAAATCAAGGAGCCAGGGTGTCTGCTTCCTTATATTTTTAGCCACTCGTCTCCTCTCCTGCCTCACGATCCCCTGGACTGTGTACTACCACGGGTAAGGGCGAGCCTTGCTCATTTTCCAGGGCTGGTGGACCTTGTACAATTATGGAGACATGGTAGGTGTCCTATAAACCTTTGCTCACTTGAAAATACAAAGAGAAAGTCAACGGTAAAGACATAAAAAAATCAAAAGCTATGTCTTTAAAAAAAAAAATCTCTGAAATCAACAGGAAGTTCTCAGCAAATGCCTTCAAGTTATGGGGTTAAAAATGAGCTCCGCGTGGGGCTCTCTCTCCAGCCGCTCCTATGCACGCAGGAAGCTGGCCACACACACAAAGAGCGGCCGTGGCTCCGGGCTGCTTTAAATAAAAATCATGCTGGGAACAAAACGATATCATAATTAATTTGGATATCATGCTCCTAAATTCTAATATTATCAGCTCTTAATCTTGCAGGTTAAAACCCAATACCAAAGATTTAAAATAGGACTTTGGACTAATCACAATCCAACACACTTACATTGAACACGTACCACGCATGAGGCACGGGGCTGGGTGGGAGAAAGAACATGAAGATGAGGAGGGCCCCACCTCTGACTGTGTTATCGGGCGGGGGGAGCGGGTACCGGACAGCAAGGAGGCGGCAAAGGGTGAACCCGAGGATGGCACGAGAAACTGGGGAGACGGTGGAGGGAGACTAGGCACACAGGAAGGGACAGTTTCACGAGTGAAGGCAATGAACTCCACCATCGGCCCCTCCCATCCCTGGCTGGCCCTTACCTCCTGTGCTCCAAGAACCAAGGGAGAGAAGATCCCTTTCAGAAAGTGGATTATTTGCAAATAGAACAAAGGCACAAATCACATATGAAGGGTTTTGAGGGACCGTGTACACAATATACAATCTGGACTGACCCATAGCGAAAGTGCCTCACAAATTTTATTAACGAAGTATATTTAATAACTGAGAAAGTTCCTGTCCCAGTAGCCAGCTAAAAGTGGTTTGCAGTTCACTTTGCAAAGCACTACAATTTACATTATAAATACTTTGTTTGAAACTAAGTGGCTATTTTCTAAGTACTTGAACAGTTTTATTTTCTGTTTAAAAAAGTAGTTAAAAATAAGGCAGACAGTCTTATTTACATTGTGATCTTGGCGCGGGCAATGAGGAAGCTGCAGTCACTTCTCCAAAGTCAGTGTCTTCGATGCAAACCAGTGGCTCAACGTATTTGTGATTTGATCACAAAGAAGAAATCCTTAAGGTCTGAATTAATGAGGTTTTAGAGTCCAGCTAGTCCTCCGCGGCAGGGGCACTGCCCACAAGACAAGGCCAGATTCAGGGCTGACAAAGTCACAGGAGAATAACCGGGAAAAGGGAGACACAATCTGCACTAAAGAGAGGAACCAAAGTTTGGTGTTCGAACTCAGGGCCACGTGGAGCCTCATGGGGCAGAGTTTAGGCGCTTGAGAAGCCTGACCTTACTATACTGATGAGGGACGATGAGGGCCATGGTTACAAAAGTAGAAATTAGAAAGAGAAATTAGTGAATCTTCCCTCTGCTTTTCAGATTATGGACTTTCTGGAGACTGGATTAGGGAGAGCTACTCGAGAAGACGGAAACCACCCCTACCCACACCACACGGTCAGCAATGCTCGTGACTAGGACTTGTGCTTCCATCTGGCCAAGCAAACCAGGATCCCGGCACACGCACAAACAGATGGGCTGTATCCCACTGGAGGGTCCGAAACAGCGAAGGCACCACAAAGCCAAGATGGAGGTGGTGGCGGCCCTGGACAGTGTGTCTCTTCCCAACGAGAAAGCAGCCTAATCGCAGCAAAAAACCACTCTGCCGATTAAGGGGAAAAAAATGAATAGCCACACAGACAAGAGGCTGGTTCACTGGGTCATCCTTTCTCATGTTATATTTGGGGATGGACACGGGGAATGTACACAGGCTTCGGCCAACCTGGCTATGGCCGCCTGACATGGATGGATCTCCCAGCTCTGGCCAAGAAACATGCTGGGCGCACCAAGAGCACATTGCTGGTCTGGAAGGGAGACGTGACCGCAGACAAGGGCAGGAGGACACCCTGGAAGCTCTGGCTATGGTCTGCCACACTCTGGGGCGGCCCGGCCTCTGCAGGGCCACCGCAGAGAGGCCTAGTTCAGCCTGCAGAAGGCAGAAGGAACAACACCAGAGGTGAAAGAATTATGCAGGGGAGGCATTTGTGGATTACACGTCTCAGAAAAAGACCTCACAAGGATTTGGGGCAGAGCCTCTTTGGCCACCCACAGGTCAAACCTAGCGCTGGTGTACTCTGAAAAGGCAACTGGCAACACGGTTACTGCCGGGGGGGACAGGATGTCAGATGTGATCGGTCCACAGGAGAAGACCGCAGCTGTGAAGGAACTGCGACCAGCCCCCAGCATGGGGAGCAGGCCCATCCTCTCTGCGTTTCTCTGCTCACCGGAGTTGGCCTCCAGACTGCAGAGGTGAGCACGGGACCAGCCAAGGTCCTCTGGACAGAGGGTCCCTACACAGGGAATCTGCAAAATTCACCTGTGCAAAGATGCAGCTCACACACGCCCATGCACATGGCCTGTGATCTACTGGCAGACGAGGCGATCCAGTGATAAAAGAGCAAAGCAGGCAACTTCCCCTCCTCTCAGCCTCCTTGACTCCTTCCCTCTGGTTAATTAGAGAGAATGTTCGTAGTAGCTGGATTTTTTATGATCTATATTCAAAAGTGAGAAACTGGAGGACCAAGAGGAAAACAAAGCAACCGATTTATCTTTTGACGGTCGCCCTTTGTCTGGCAAGGCCATCCTTTTGCAGTGGGTGGCTTTGGAAGAGGAACAAAGGAACCTGAGGAGAGCGGCATCCCATGCTCAGCTGGCTTCGTCAGACTACTGAGCACTAATGGAGTCAATGGCCCAACAGGAAGAATTTGGGATTTGTGTATAATGCAGTGTAGACATTTTTTAAAATGTTGATTTTTCTCGGCTCATAAAAGGAATCATTTTGGTGTGTATTACCTTCCAGTCCTGTATGAGAGAGGAGGAGCGAGGAGGAGAGAGGAAGGAAGGGAGAACGGAAGAAATGGAGAGTGAGAGGAAAAGTTTTACATCTTATTTTTTCCACTCTTCTATCTCCCCATGTCACTAAGTACATTTTTTTTCCCATTTAAAAAAAAAAAATCCCAAGGTCTCGGAAATCAAGATTTCCCTTGCCACGGCCTTTGTGTTTATATGGCTTCCCCCGCCATTTCTGGAGAACGGGAGCTGCACAGATTGTAGCTGCTGAGGCACCTGCTGCCCTGGCACCACGTTCGCAGAAATGATGTGCAGTCAGAGGCTCCACGCACGACGATGAGTCAAGGCTCACTGGGGAGAGCCCGCTGAGGCGGCGCGAGACCACGCTCCCCATGCCACCTGCTCGGAGGCTTCCTTTGCCTTTGTTTTCACCTTTCCAGAGGTCTGTTTCATATACCTCCCGTGCCAAGGGACCTTCTCCTGCCTCATCAACTCTGTTTCCCCTGCCAGAGGCCTCGGCCTCGCCTCCAGCTGAGCCAGTGCCATTCTCCCCGGCAAAGAGCTGCTGGCTCTGCGGGCTCCACGCACCTATGCATTAGCCACTGGTCCCTTTGCCGGAAAACACTAGCCTGGAATCCCCAGGAGCATTCAGACTAGGAGGGACTGTTCTCATCTTACTCCCAGGACACTCCCAGGTCAGAGCAGAGCCACACCCCGTTCAGCTCCCTGGTTGGTGCTCTTCTGATCAAACCATCATCAGAGACAGGGACACAAAGGTAAGTGTCAAAATCAGGGTGACAGGTGCGTGGGCTGGTGAGGAAAGCAAGAATACGTACCTTCTTGGCGTCACAGTAGCGAAGGCCAAAGGCATGGAACTGAGGGAAGAACGTGGGCTTGACGGCAATGATCTGCGTGTAGAGCTCTGCGGGTCGCGACATGGCTGGCGTGCCTGACAGTAAGATCACGCGTTTGGCAACCTAGGAAACAAACAGCCAGAGGTGCTGAGGACAGAGAGGAGCACATGGGGACTATCCCAAAAGCCCCAGTGAGACAGAAGCCCCAGGGATGGCAATATCCCCTGGAAACTAGCGCGAACAGCTCTCACTTCCTGGGCACTCTGATTGCTGGCTGCACTGACTGCTGCATGGAGGTGGATCTAGACTCCAACTAAGGACCAGCCGTACTCTCGAGCAGGGGTCCCCAACCCCCAGCCACGGAGGGGTACGGGTCCATGGCCTGTTCGGGACCGGGCCGCACAGCAGGAGGTGAGTGGCGGGTGAGTGAGTGAAGCTTTGCTCACATTACAGCCTGAGCTCTGCCTCCTGTCCCTAGACCCTGTCTGTGGAAAAACTGTCTTCCACAAAACCAGTCCCTGGTGCCAAAAAGGCTGGGGACTGCTGTACCATGGCGGATTAAAAATAATAAAGTGTGTCCAGAGAACCTCATGGCATGACCCACGTAAGCGTCGGCATGTCATCGCCTAAGCAGTCTTTGTAGCACCCTCTGCACATCTCATCGGTCCTTGGCACATTCGCTTTTCTCTCCCCCTCACTAGACTGCAAGCTTTTTGACGTCAAGGACTTGGCTGTATTCACCTTCATTTGCTGTAGCACAGTGCTTGGCACAAAGTAAGTAATTAATAATGTTCACCATATGTTGAAAAATATTCACGAAGAAGCTAATTAGTGTCCTGAGGACCATGTCATAAACTCAAAGAATCCAGCACTGGAAGAGGAAGCGGAAGCGGGGGAGATAGCAACAGGCTTGAACTTTCAGCATGGATTCTGACATCCAAGCTGAACTTCGGAGCAGACGACACCTAGGACCAGCCCTCCCTCCCTCCCAGGATGAGAGGTATAAGCCTGTGATTTGATTTTCTTTAGAGGAGAAAGAAAAAAAAAAAAAAAAAAAAAAAGGCCATCACTTGCTCAGCTGCACAATGCTTTGAGCCCAGAGACCCCTGACTGAGCCCATTTTGCAGTTAATAAGGACCTCAAAGGTGGGACCCAGGTCTATTTACCCTACGCAGCCCCAGTCCACAGCAGCTCAGCACTGGGCAGCATGGAAATAAGAGTTGGTTGATTTCAACGACAAACTTCAGGTTCTTACTATCCCGACGCCAACCGGACCCAAGGGGATCAGGCCCCAATATCCCACCTCTGTATTAGAACACGTAATCGCCAAAGATTACTGGAGATGAAATTCATTTCGGCTCTGGGAAGGGACCCTACTGCAGAGCTCGGTTGTCTAGAAACAGCTTGTTAACCACCGAAACCTTGAGTTAATGACAGTGGTATAAAGTAGTGTAAGGCAACGGCATGCAGTAAATCACCTCAGGGAGGAAATTAGGTTTTCTAATGGATACACTTGCCTCATAAAAATAAATAAATAAAGGTGCAACAGAGGGAAGAGAAATGACTCCTTATAAATATACAGTATATACAATTCTCAAGATGCACTTTTGCCCTCTCAGCAGCCGCCAATACTGACTTCCATTATGACAGGAGAGCTATGAATTTCTCCCGCTATAATTTTCCCCAGTTCAATTACCCAGGCCCTCTAATTTCCTGCACAGTTTAATGCAGGCTCATTAAAATAACAATGAGCTTCTTGAATGACGTCTGTAGCACTGCTTGCCTTGGCTCAAGGCCATTTGAATGAAACAGGGAAAATGAAAAGTCTTATCAATAAGAGAAAATCAGCCCATCATCCCAAACCTATTCCCCAGGTTGCTGCTATTGTTGCCCGGGGATGGAGCCTGGGCAGCGGCTCTGAGATCAGGCGATGGAAATTCACTCCACGGTCCTCTATTAGACATTTACAGAGTAGACTCAGTGCCGTCTCGGTCCTCCCACACACTGCCCAGGCGAGGGGGTGACAGAACCGTTGATGGGCACTGGTGGGTGTCAGGAAGCGGAGGCAGCATCATGGGAAAGGGCCGGCCTTGAAAAGAAACCAGGACGGAGTTTCATCAGTTAGGAGATGACTTCGCCTGCTCCCTGCTCAGCCCCGACCCGTTCGTACTGTCTTCACTGTCATCCATAATGCCTTTATCGTGCGCAGCTGCACATCATTTATGTGTCACCCTCCACCCCTGAGAACTTCCAACTCTAGGAAAATATAAATGCATAAAACTACATAAATCAACACTACATCGAACACTTTGCAGTTAACCCCTCTGTCTAAGGAAAGAAAACAGCACCCAAGTAATCCACAATGGAACAAAGTAAAAAATAATTTTTATGTGGCCTGAGAGAAATTATGTGATTGACAGGAGCAGACACTGTAGGGGGCAGACGACCTTGAAGGCCAGGTTTAGCACTTGTGCGTCACGGGTGGGGCAGCCCTGCAGGCCGACAGCAGGACAAGTTGGAATATATAATTTGCCAAGGAGAATCCGATGAAGTAATTCAAAGCAATAACCTACAGATTTAAAAAAATGAGCCAGGAGTATGTTCTATCGTAGGAAAAGAGCTGAAACTGTTTTTTATGATCATACAAGATGCAGTCTGGGAATTCTTCATCACTTTCTGTAGTTACCTCTTTTTTTTCCCAGCTGAGCCAATAATTTGCTTTACTGAATTATTCTGATTGGCCATAATATATTTCACCAAGACCCCAGACTAGGAAAAAAGTCATGCTCCCTAAAGCTTAGTCCCATTCTTATAGCCAATATCATTCCTAATGGTACTCTCAATAAATTTATGCTAGAGGCAAAGCCCCCTGTGATTTAGAGATAGAACATGAGAAGACAGGTGACACCAAAGAGGCCAAGCCCATACCACCCAAGTGTCCCAATATTCGTTAGTCCTGATGTGGCAGGACTAACCTGGCATTGAGCTGTGTTTTAATTTGGAAGTCATTATAGAATCTTTAGAAAGGAGAGTGGCAAGCACAGCTTAGCTACAAGTGACCAAAAGTACAAGATCAAAGACAAGTGCAAGAGTGTAGCCACTCCCCAAGAAGTAACAAGAATCAACACCTGTAGTTTCATTTAAAGCCTGAGCACAAGAGGGAAAACTCAATGTTTAGGAGAAATCCAGCGACTGCAGTCTGCGTACAAGATTGAGCTTCTACTCTTCACTGCTCCTGACAACGTCAGTTCCCGTGACAAACAAGACCTAACCAAGACAAATGGCATCATTATGACCACTGTTAACCAGAAGCCACCCCAAGGACCAGCAGTGAGCCACCTACCATTCAGTGATACCTGGTAAGTGGCCTTCCTGAGTCTCTGGTTAGGTCTATACATTTCACATAAAAATGTTTCCTTGTAAATTTGAGCCTTTTTCCAAAAAGAGACAAAGTCCCAGTCACAAGTCTGGATGGCACTGTCTTTACTAAACTGATCTGCATGATAACTGTCGTGCTTTCAAGCTATGTGAGTGCTGCTGCTTTGGTATTAATGAAATTCTGATGCTACATACAAGGCAAGTAGTTCTTGGCCAAATAAAGACTGTGCCTACAGGTGTACTGATTAAAAAATACAACAATGTCATGAGCATATGTCAAATGATATACAGGGTGGGGCAAAAACAGGTTTATAATTGTTCGTATGGAAAAAATAACACAATAATTAATAAAAATAACACGAGAATAAACTCTGTGTTTCACATACTCACCACTGTAAACCTACTTTTGCCCCACCCTGTCGTTACAGCTGATTAAAGTTATGCCATTTTGAACTTCAAGGCATGCAAAACACTCTTGTATAGTATTAATACAGTACACATAAAGTGGGGGTTTTTCCTTTGAAAAAACGTCGACTTTAACTTAAGTATTGATCCCATACTTTTCATTTTAAGGCTGATTCTGTGATGAAACTGAAAAAATTTATCAGACTAGCCAGACCCCAGGGACTCCTCCTGTAGTCCGGTCACCTGGGGCAGAGCGCCACATCCTCTGGACGCAGAGGAACTGGGTTTTGTACTCTCTATTTGCATATTCTATGAAAAGATAGTCATTACTGTGCTGCATGCAATAGTCAAAGCCTGGTTACAAATCCATCAAAAGGAAGTAGATAAAACATATTATGACATATTCTCCAGAATGCTACTACTCAAGAGAATTCTATTTGTAAGAAGGCGGTCAAGTCACCTGGAACGAGGTGGAATGAGTCCCAAGATACACTATGAAGAGAAGAAAAGCAGGTGCAAAACCGAGGCTGTAGAAGGGTCTAAGAAGGGAGAAGGAAACATGTGTGCACTTACCGGGACACAGGTTAGTTTTTAGAGGTAAACCTGAAAATATGGTTTAGTATGGCTGCCTTTGGGGAAGGAGATCAAGGCACTGGGGATCCAGAGGTGGGAAAAGGAAATATTTTCATTTTATACCTTTTTGTACTGTTTGCTTATATCATCTATTTAAACTACTTTAATAAAAAGAAAGAGCTCATACATTTTAGACCACTATTCTCATCTCATCTAGCAAGTCAATAGATAAAATAGTAAAAATGACTCTACTCACACAAGAAGAGAGTTATTTATTAGGAAAGAATGGTGGGATTCTGGAGATCTTTTTCCCTCTAAAGAAATAATTGGGTATGTTAATAATGTTATAATATTGTTGTAACAATAAAAAGCACTGTATGTAAAACGCAGCTAAAGAAAACCCAAACACCTCTCACTGCTCCAAAGGGAACACGCTGCTAACCTTCGGTGCTCGGCGCGTGGGGAAAGAGGCCCTGTGATTCGGGCGGAGTGGGAGAGGAGATGTGATGCCTGCCCAGACTGAAACCCACAGGCACTCACCAAAAGGTAAAGTTACGACCCAGCAATTCTGAGTAAGGAAATTCACCTTAAAAGGACAAAGTAAGAAAGCTACGAATATGCAGATGATGTTGATTTGCAGAATTATTTATAATAGCAAAACAACGTCCGACACTAAGGGTTAAACTATGAAATATGTTCATGTAACAGATGCTCAGCAGCCATTAAAAATGATGACCTTGCCCTCGACTGACATATTAGAAAACTAACCAAACTGTTAACAGTGGTTTTCACTGTTGGAGGGAATAAAGATGATTATAAAAATGTTCTTTATAGTTTTGTCTTGCCTACCGCATTTATATATAAAAATAGACTCTTGCTTAGTAGCCCAGGCAAACAGCGCTATGGAAAGAGAGAGCGGTCACACGCCCCTGGCCCAATGACACCAGTCTCCTACAATCTAAGCAACATGTCCCCTACACGTCATTTGTGAACCCACATTGTCCAGATGTGACCTTGCCCGGCTATCTCACAGATGATATGATATAAACTAATTATCTCTTCATGCACATTTGTTGAAAGACCTTGAAATATTAAAAATTTTGAAATATATTACCAGAATATAGTTCTAAGAGATGCACGAGTTAGAGAAGCAATCAAGAGATATTAATTTAGGTTCTCATATGACCTTTCTTTTTTTAATTATATAAGTTTTAGGCGTACAACTTCATTATCTGATATCTGTAGACTCCAAAGTGATCATTCCCAAAAGCCTAGTCGCTATCCATCACCATAAAACCAATTCCCTCTACCTCTTTCTAAGTGGATTTTTGAAGGCCTATTTTACTTCTAACTCTCCTCTTGTTCCAAAAATACTTAGATTCATTTCCTCAGCATATCTAGATCAGTGGTTCTCCGTAGAGATGGGAAGCAGTGATTTGCCCCCCAGGGGATGTTTGGCAATTTTGGTTGTCACAATGCAGGGGTACAACTGGCATTTAGTAGTAGAGACCAGGGATGTTGCTAAACATCATACAACGCGCAGGACAGCTCCACACAATAAGGGATTATCCAGCCCCAAAAGTTAATAGGTTGGCAAGGTTGAGAAATTCCAGCCTAGACGAAAATACAGCAGAGATGAAAGGTTAACAGAATAACACAAAACGCCTCACCCCTACGTCCACTCGGTCCTGACAACAGTCTGGCATCATGTGAAGTCAACTTTATAGAGGTGAGAGGCTTTAAGGCACCTGCATAAACAGCAGACTGTATTCCTGACTCCTGTTTTATTGTTAACTCACCCAAATTCCACAGCAAATGCACAGTAGCATAACAACAGTTAAAAGATTTGCTTTAAATATGTCACTTTGAAATATGCCCATGATATTAAAGATGTAAATGCTGCTTTAAATGGCCTGGCTCAGAAGCACACATTTCAGAGCCCAGCGTGTGGTCCTGATGCCCCACCAGGCACTGGCTGCACTCACAAGATGGTTCCTGAGAAGCTTCCTGTTACACTGATAATGATACAATCTATCCATTGTGCAGTTCCTTTTGTCTAAACAATCAGGGGTACAGATTTAATTTTAGTTATAGCTGTAATATTGGAACTACAGTACCAAGGTCTACTAACATTTTTCAAAAGAGTACATATTAAAGCCTCCCAAAAGAAGGGCGGCACTCTGGGAAAAACACTGCATTTAAGAGTGTCCATAAACGGCTCTCATATTTAAGGGAAACATGAGCAGAGGATTGAGGTTTTTAAGTAAAGGACTTTTATTTTTAAGTTCAGAGCACATGACATAATCCTGCTTTGGAAGGTGTATCATATTACTTGCTATTATCACGTAATTTGTTATTCCTAAAACAAAACACAACTTGAAATGAGTAGACACTTGTGTATGTCTTGCGGGGAGGTGGAAAAATTAAGTTAATTTTCAAATGCTAGTAAGTTGCACCAACATCTAACACAGTGGTTTTCCCTAGTTGAGGTAGAATTTAAAGCTTCTTTTAGGCAATAAAAGCTACAGTTTTAAAATGCTATACACACAGACACGAGATAATATGTAAATAAAACAACTAAAAGCACAAGACAAACATGCACTTTTGTTTGCTCAGTGTACACAGATTCCCCCCAACATCACCTCTGAGATCCCTACCTTGTTATGAAAGAAAAAGCTACTTTTCCAATTTCACTATTTCCCCCCAATATTAAGAAAAAGCTCACTACAAATGGAAGGAAATTTGGGGGGTGGGGTCTTCCCTTTGTCGGGACACAAAACACGAGTCTGGAAGTGCACGCGGAGGAGGCAGGCGCTTCCACGGCACGTCAGGGCAGAGCCCTTTCACAGACAGATTCGAAGCCGTGCTATGCTGCGGCACCCCCTCCCCCAGCCTGACCCCGCAGCCAGGACTCAGCCAGCCGGGGGCTCGCTCGGCCCACCACCCCAGGGCCGGGTGGGTGGACGGCCGGCCGGCCGACCCTCCCGTGGACAACACAGCTCAGGATGGCTCAAGGGGAGGGCCTCAGCTTACACGGCACACCTCAGTGTCACTCATCTCCCTCGGTTCCAGGGCACCAGAGAGCCGTGCTCCGCGGCGCCTTAGAGGACAGGCGGTTTCCGCTGGGCCGTAGGACACGCCGCTGGGGGCCCCTCGGCCTGGTCCAGGAGGGGCCCCGGAGACCTGGAGTGCAGTTGCCCGCCTGGCCTGGGACTGTCAACAGGTCTTCGCCTTCGAGAGGCAGAGAAAACTGCACCGACCCTGAGCTCCTTAGCAGGATGGCAGCAGGAAAACGGAACCCAGCACCACAGCCCTGAGCAGAGATGCCCTAAGGTGACACTAAGTTGCATCCATGGCCCGCAGTCTGGAACCTGCAGGCCCCGCTTTCCTGGACCCCGTGCCTGCAGAACAAACTACAGCCGATCTCAATGCCAAGTGGGCTCCGGCACCAAGTCCACTCGCGGCGGGACTCACCTTGAGGAGGGGCATAGCTGCGCGACAGCGGGCAGTCTTAATGTTTTTGAGGAAGTGAGATTCATCCTGAAAAGAAACAGGCGGGTAGGTGAACAAGGACAAATTCCGTGTGCAAGGAAGCAGAGCCCACGTTAAGCTCAGCCCTGGCACAGCAACACATCAAAGATCCTCCCTCCGCACTTTCTCATTCAAGGAGATGGCTATGGGCCTGGGTCAGGCCCCCGGCTCTGGTGAGTTTTCCATTACATTCTGGGCAAGTCACTTGCCCTCTTTAGCACAGTTCTGCACCTGTAAAGTGGAGTTAGTGACTGCCCCGCCCTGCCCACCTCGCAGGCTGTGTTGAACAAACGTCCGAGAGGGGGTCTCTGCTGGGCCCCACCCTCGCCCCTAGGGGCTCACAGTCCGGGAAGGACGTCAGCCACACTGACAACAGATCGGAGGATGGGATGAGTGCTGTCGCTGAAGCAGGAGTGACAAAGTGCTGCGGGGACTTGGAGGAGGGAAGAAGGCAGGCTTTCTGTCCTCAAGGGACCGATGGCCATGCTTAGAACATGGAGTTTGACTACTTACAGCTCTGTATTCTGTGCATAAGCAAACTCGAAGATGTCATATTTTCTAAAGCTCATTGGGTGCCTAACACATTCTTATTATTCTGTGGGAAATTTTTTATTTTGGTACACATTCCAATTACTTGCTATGTGAATCTAAGCAACTACTTGGCTTTTCCACGGTGCCAGTGTCTCCATCTGTGAAGCGGGTATAATACCAGACCCTAATGCACTGGGCTGTCGTAAACGGGCTCACACATGGAAAGCCCTTAGAATAGTCCCGCCACTTAATAAGCACTCATTGGTATCAGTCGCCCTAGCATAGCGATACCAGGAATATCCTGGCTTACTGCTAAAGACCCATGAGCACAATCCCCCCCGCCCTGGTTCTATTTCAGCTAAGATGAACAACAACAACAAAGGGACCTCAAAAGCATAATGCAGGGGAGTGTGAGATGAATCCCCAAATGTCACTGTATCTATTCCCAGAAACCTGGGGTGTGGCATCCATACTTCTGTCTGATGGTAAGTCCACATGACAGACAAGCAAAAGGGTTTTGTAGAGAAAACAGCACAAAGTGCAGAGGATATGGAAGGCAGTGTGGGCTCTTTAACCAAAGGGTAACAACATACCACTATTATAACTAACCACAGGAATAGCTTCATGTTCAAAACTGTGACATCTGAGAAATATAACATCTCAGAACCGTCACTTTATGCCTTCCTACAGCATTTCTCTGGAGTCGGAAGAGGACAGGGATCTTCCGTAACTGAAGAACAAACCATGAGTGGTGGTCAGTGGTTTGCTAAAAGTCATATGGCAGATTAAGTCTTGAGTCAGAAACAGAAACACAGGAATTCTAAAGCCTGGTGCGATCCAGCTTCGATCAGTGGCTCTCCATTTTGCCAGCTCTGTGCCTATGGGCAAATTATGTAACCCTCTCTCACGGGCAGTTTCCATCAGCTGTGAAATGGGGACAGGATCCGCCTGGGGGCCGCTGGGAAGAGCAGCGATTACAATCAAGCCCCTGACACAGGAACACGCGAGACCTGAGGGCATCATTCTCCCTGCGCGTCGCAGCACCGCCTCCACCGTCCTGGGGTACTTCGTCCAGTGTTTTCATTTCACATGCACGCTGGCATTTTTCAAAGCTACACCTGAATTGGTGCCAAACCAGAAATGGCTCCCCCAAAGATGTGGTACCTTTTAGCTTTGAAAAAATATAAACATTTAAGTTTGCTTATGCTATGAACACAGTATGATTCTCATGTCCAAATCATTAAAACAGACCCTTCTCAGAGCGGCCACAACACTTAGTTCACAAGTCTATGAGAGCGCTAAAATGTATTCTGTGCATGTGTCTGTCTGTCCTACTGACTGTACCCCCCCCCCCCCCACCTTGTGCACAGCGCTGTACAGGGTGCGGAGCTGGGACTCAACTGCTAGTTGGACCGATGGAGAAATGCACCCCCATCCCCCCACCCCCAGCACACAAACACGACAGTCACTCCTGTGCCGGGAAACCCAAGGCACCGAGTCTCTACGACAATCTTGTCATCCCACTCGGCTAGGACACGCTCCTTCTGTGGGTGTCCTGAAAGCTCCTTCCTTTCTCTCCACCGAGATAAGATATGCTCTCCAACTTGGAGCATAGAGTTCTCCGCAGTCAGTCGAGAATTCTATTTTTCAGAGAAGGAAAATGCCACTGGCTTTTAAAATTCGCACATTTGAATGAAGAACCTTTCATCTCATCTGGAGGCACTGGGTTTCACTGTTTTGCCAAAAGGAAAAACGCGGGTACACTTCCGCTGGCAATCACCCACCGCAGGCTTCACCCCTGAACGCTTACCAGCGGTCCCCTGCCCTGGGGATGGGAACTGCACAACAGGGGCAGGGGCGGAGAACACTGCACCCCTTTCGGAAATGTTATTTGTGAGCCGTGACATACAGCAAGCTCCTGACAGCGGGGGCTGGAACAGCCAAGAGACCGGGAGAGGGAACGTCAGCAACTGAAAGGTGTGCCGTCACTCCTGGGAGCGGGACCCTGGTAAAGCCACCATTTAAAAAATGACCAGAGTGAAGAGTACTTTCCTGGGCAGGGCGGGGCGGGGCGGGGCGGGCGCGCCTTTCCCTCTGCTGGAAGCAAGCTGATTAACTGTTTGAACAGGACGTCCGTGCCTTTCTGTTAAGACGGCGCCAGACGCAGGCCCACCGTTGGCAGTTCCAGGGCTGGGGTCCACCTGCGGGCCTTCCACACATGCCCTCGTGTCAGGGAGACGGGCTAGAACCCCCAGCACAGAACTAGTAAATCGCATTTTCCAAAAAGCTCCCCTGGGAATTCTAATATGTAGCCAACGCTGAGAACCGCCAATTTAGAGAAAGGAAATGCCAGGTCGCCACAAAACGAAGACAATGGTTTCTGTTCTCCTGGAGTCCGAGTGGGGCTCTGTGCAACAACTCTCGCTGACAGATATGAAAGATTAGGGACTTTTAAGAAGAAAGTTTCTACCGAGATAAAGACTTTGCCAAGTCACTTACAATGATGACGACTTTAAAAGGGGTCTTTATCTGTTTTTCCAACTTGCTCAGAAGGTCAAAACTGACAATGTTGACCAAGCCCGCTGTCAGGCGGTCCTTGCCGGTCACCACCACATTGATGTGCTCTGGGTTCAGAGACGGCAGCCACTGCAGGAAGGCCTGGGGAGGACAGGAGAGAACCAACCCAAAAATGATGATGCAGCCCAGCCGCTGGCCACTGTGACCCCAGCCAATCCATTAGCTGCACTCCTCCACGCGGACCAATGTTAACGCTTCCTCAGGATTCAGCTTGGTCCCTGTCCCTCCACATCCTCCCACATTTGCCACAACCCTGTCCTCACAAATGGCAACCGTCCTCATCTTCCTCTTAACCCATCCACTCCCCTTCACTTGCCACTAATAGAACACTTCCTTCCTCTACAGGCAAGTGCAGTCACAGCAGTCACTCTGTGATGTCTGTGGATTTCATTTCTGTGACCACTAAACAGCACATTTCTGCAGAGAAAGAACGTGACTATTTTAAGAATTTTATAAAGGAATTTTTAGCAGAGCTCAAAACACTGAACACACTAATGGTGATATTTTCTATAAAGCACCTGCTGTCTCCACAAGTGCTGCCATCTCTAGCCAAAGCCAGCACCTAGGGTCAACAGGAAGCCACCAGGCACCTCCCTGTCAGCGTCTGGGTGCTGTCCTGGCGTGTCTGGGCTGACACTACTCTAATACAAGGGGTGCTGGTTCTTTCTCCAGCCCCCTCTGACCATCTGACCCTCCCCTAGGATTTTTTAGGGTGCTCTAGGAATCTAACACACACAAAATAAGTAAGTGTTGAATTATTTGTTTCCAGAGGTAATGGCAGAATTCAGATCACAAGGGCCGGAAAAGAATGTGGCATTGTTTCAATGCACAACTTAAAAGTTTGGCTTTCTCTTCCGTTGGAAGGGCAGGTCTGGTAACCAGGCTGAGCCGCTGCAGGCAGAGCTGCTTCTTCCCCACAAGCGGCTCATGGGGGGCTCAGGAAGAAGCTGAGGTGTGAGGAGGCTGGCAGCCACCACCAGCAGCGTAGAGCTGAAAAAAGCTGAGAGCATGAACTGAGGCTTCCTTCCTCACCAAGTTTGCTTATATGGGTTTTTATTCATTTCACAGAGCCACTCTGATCCTGGATTTATGGCAGACAAAGCTCAAGGCTGAGCAATAATAAAGCTGAGTTCATGTCAGAATCTTTAGCTACAAAGGCACCAGGTAGACAGTGAACCTCCTGTCCTCGCCCCCTTCTACTGAGTGCAAAAATCCTGGGCCAAGAAGACAGGAGAGGCGGCCTCAGGGCCCTGCGCTGCTCCTCATGAGCAGGGAGGGTGGTGCTTACCCTCTCTGAGATTCAGTTTTCTCATCCATAAATGGGGTTAATACCCACTGTGTCTACCGCACATGGCTATTGTGAGATTATGGGAACTATATGTTTTGAAAACTAAGTGTGGCACAGATGAAAGGTGCCATGATCAGGGGTGCAAGAGGGAATCAGGGAGGGCCTGCCAACAGAATGAGGGGAGTCCGAGCTCTGTGACTCCTTGGATTTTTTCTCTGAAGGTCTGACCGGATGCTACGTCAGAGACCCAGGAGCCTAGCCTTAGGAGGCCATCTCGTCTTCCCTCCCACCTTCAGCTGAAACAGATCTTTGAAGATCTCAGTCCCCATACCCCAGCTGTTAGTTGGGTCCTCTAACCCTGAGGGAAACCTTCTTTGTCAAAACCACAACACAAGGAGACCTGACCTGCTCCCAGGTGAAGCGCACAGACGACGGCACCACGACCAGGAGCGGCCACTCCTTCCGGTAGAAGGCCGCGATGCAGAGGGCTTGGATGGTCTTCCCCAGGCCCATGTCGTCGGCAAGGAGCAGGCGGCCTCCTTTCGCGATGGCAAAACTGAAAGCAGACAAGGTAAGGAGAGCGACACAACACATTTCCCAGGGGCATGAGCTCGCCTGCCACCAGGCCACCATGGAAGGAAACACGCATGGCTTGGTGTGGGCTGCTGCACCAGCCAGCAGGGGCCCAGTTCCTGAGAAGAGACCTGCTCCCCGAACAGGGAAAACCAGGAGTCAGCTGGGGGGGTAGAATCATAATTTAAAAAGAACTCAAAATTGGGAAAATGTGAAGTAGTGGTAAAAGGTAGGGAGAAACTCAGTAAGATAATAAGGTCACAGAACCCCGGGGAGGAAGTCTGCAATAAGAGTCACCCTCAGCCCAATGTAAGTGGAAGGACAGTGGGAAACAGTCTCCAAGGAGGGGCGGCAAGGAAGGGGAGAGGAATTAGAGATGAGGATCAGCGAAGACGTTGTGCGCACAAGGGCAGAGCGAAGGCGCTTAGAGGAGGAGGGGAGTAGCCAGAGGAGAGGATGTAGCAGGGTGTTTGTCCACAAGGGAACAGCAGCCTCCAGGGCGACAGCTCTCGCTAACCGTTTGTGAATAAGGGTGGGTTCCACTCTTCAGGAGCCCAGGTGGCCGGAGTCGGAATCCCCACTCTACCACCTCGAGGCACGTCATCTAACCTCCTTGCACCTCAGCCACACGTGGGAATAACAACAGGACCTACCCTAGAAACTGTTTCTAGGATTAATAAAGGTAAAAAGTAAAGCACTTAAAACAGTGCTTGATAACACTGTAAGGATCAGGGGAATGTTCGAAGAGGAGAAAAATACTCAAAATACAAAGAGTAAGAATGACTTGCTCGAGTCACCTGATGAGTCAGTGAAAAGCTAACAGGATCCCTAGTGTCAAGTGTCTGATCTCCTGCTCCAAACACCAGCTGTCACTCATCTGATTCCTGAAAAATGGATCATTCGCTCAGACCCCTGATAATAAGCCAGACAAACAATTCTTTTTCTTTCTTCTCTCTTCTCTCACAATAAAGACAGAGAATGTAGCCTCTTCTAAATAGCAGCTGGTATGGCCAACAAGAATTCTAGGCTGCATGTGGCCTTTCTGAATTGCCTGGAAATAGCGTTTCTACCTCTCAAAGTGTTCAATGCCGGTGGAAAAGAGCAGCAGATCTGTGGGTGGCATGAGGCCAACATGCCTGGGTTTGGCAGTGCACGGAGACAAGGGGCATCTCATCATGGCACTTCCTTGCCCTCCCTGCAGTCACAGAGCCCACCCAGGGGGAGGGAACATCCCTTCCCACATCCCCTGGGCAACGGTCACCAAGTTCCTTCAGCAGAAAGGCAGGGGCCCAGCGGCCGCCACCTCACCTCCCTGACCAGGCCTTGCTTCCTCACCGAGGCACACCCACCTCCGTTCCGTCTTCTGGGCCATCTCCAGGACGACCCCTCAGCACAGACAGACAGGAGGAGGGCACGTGTGAAAAGGTGTATTTTTACCTCACTTTCTGACTTACAAAAGTGCTGGCCAGGGCACGCAGGGAGCACCGAGGCAGCAGACCCACAGGACCTCGTGTTGCAGCCTCCTCGGTACAACCACTTACAACGTCGCATGGTCATTCTCAAAGCAGAATGGACCCCTGCATTTCAGCCTTTCCTTTTCCCCTGCACTGAGGTAGCCCAGCTAAGGAACCAAGCAGCCAAAAAGGAGAACAAAGCAGAAAAAACCCCACCTGGGTAAAAAGAGAAACAATCACACAGCTGATGCCGCCCTCCGCAGAGCAATATGGCGTAACAGAAAAAACGTCATCATCAGGTTCACTCGTGTGAGCTGAGTGACTTTGGGCAGACGGCTGTCCTTCTGCGTTTCGACTCACACGCCTCCCTCGGGAGACCATGTATTCAGTCGAGGAAGCTGATAAGTATCTAAGAGATTTTGCTCCATAGATTTAAAGGAGTTTTCAAATGAATTCTTACATGCAAAAACAAAGCAAAAAAACCCCCCAAAAGCATGGAAGTCCTCTTCCCTCAACATCAAACCCCTCCTCTTCAGAGAATGAAAGTTAAAATCTGGCTTTCATTAGAAAGTTGGAGACAAGTACCGTTAGCACTCGCGCAGCCCTAGAGAGGGAGACGGGGGCCATGGGCTACTCTGTCCTGATGCGCGCACACCCCCAGTGGTGAGGAGGTTAACTGGCGAGGCCCGCACACACCAAGTGGGTTCAAGGACCTCTGCTGGAGCCACGAAGATCTGGATGCTGAACGCAGAGAGGGCAACATTAATGAAGAAGCCAGAGAAAGGGCAAAGGAAAAAACCACCCTTAGCCCAAAGGACATAAGAACAGATGAGGGAATGAAATGGCGAGCTGTGCTACCTCTGAGGGACGAAGGTGAGGAAAATGAAGACGAAGGGGTGGGGAGAGCCGGGGCCCTGGAAGTTTGCAGTAAGAGTCACCCTCAGCCCAATGTAAGTAGAAGGACAGTGGGAAACAGTCTCCAAGGAGGGGCGGCAAGGAAGGGGAGAGGAATTAGAGATGAGGATCAGCGACCTCAGTAAGGTGTGACTGTGCCGTGACCACACCCAGAACAAAACCCTGTCTTGAGACCACAGCCCAGCTTTAACCAAACCACCACAGCGGGCTGGATGCAGACAGCCTGCCTTCACTTGTCAGGCCCACCGACAATTTCATCCCTCCCCTTGCACAGGACTCCCCCCACCCACACTGCCCGTCCACAGACCTGACTTTCATATTTCTGGACAGACTATCAAGACCTCCTCCTCCCTTTCATTGACCTCCCATATTTTCTCTAAAAGGCAAGTTCAAACCTGTCACTTTGCTTATCCCAAAAAACTCTGGAAAAAAGGACAGGTCAGGCCACAGGTTTATCTTTCTTCTCTCTATAATAAGTACACTCTGGCTTTCCTTTGGAAAACTACCACCTCCCACTCTCCGTCCAAGTAATTCGTGTGAGGCAGAACCTACCCTGTCGCTCCACGGGTGGCCTATCACCCAGCCTCACCAAAAAGACTTCCATGCCCCCTGGCCACAAGGACTAACTGGTTCCTGCGTCAGCACCAGATTCCATGCATTTCAGGGTAGGACCCCTAGGAAAGAGGTGCTTCCGCTGGGTTGCTGAGCTGACAGATGTGAGCCGGAAGCCCCTGGCAGCCCCAGCTGCCACACTTGAGCGTCCAGCCAAGAAGAAAGCAAACTAAGAGGAAAGCAGTGCTGAGAAAGGGACAGCCTCCTGATGAGATCCCTTGAGATCCTGGGTTTTCTATCGCACACACTTAGAAATCTTCAACTAGTCTGAATTGGGTTTCTGGACACCTGCAGTGCAGAGTCCTGATAACTCATGGGATTTGAAATCAATGGTTACAATCAGTCTTTGGTAACAGCACACCTGGCTGTTTAATGTCTAAATGCTCGTAGACATCTGTGAAAGATGAGCGTTCACAAAAGGAGGAGCATCTGAGCCCAGCTGGTGGTGAGTGAAGAAATACGAGCAAAAGAGAGCAAGAGGAAGATCAAGGACCTACTTGACTCCAGCTCTCTGAAAGGGCAGCAGATTAGACACGAGCTTGGGGTCCACTCCTGAGAGGTTTGCCTCAGGGACGTCTGCCGTGAGACCAAGAGACGTCTTCTCCATCTGAGAAGCGAAAGCCAGGGTCAGTGTCTTGGGCAGAGGACTCAGCTGAACTTGTGGAAGGCAGCGCACCCTTTCGACTGGAAAGAAGAAAAGAGGCATGTGAATTGGAGTGTTATGTCCAAGAGATCTTGGGAAAGGGACTGGGCTTCAAAAAAGTAACCAGGGAAAAAACCTGGGGCAGACAGAGTTTCATGCCAGAGGACAAATTCTCCCTCTCTACTCCTTAACTTCTGCAAATAAGAGGGCAATCGATAATGTGAAATTGATTTTCTATACTACACAAATGCTGTAAAGAACTATAAAGAGATTCTGTGACAGATCTTGTTTTAACCAAAAGTAATTCAAAAATATATCTAAGTATTCCCACTCAAATAAGGACCCCTATTTGTTAAAAAGTTCAGTCCAGAAAAAACAAGAGTTAGAATGAAAACATCCTGTCTTGTTTCCATTCTTCTTGTGTTTTATTTTGGTTTCAGTGTTTGAGAAGTCAGAGAACCCTAAGTCGCCCGCTGCCAACATGCAAGGAAGCCCTGTGGTCTGTGCTCCTCTGCGAGATGTTTCCGAGAAAGACAAGTAGGATGGTAGTGCTACTTATAAATGACAGCAAAGGGCAGGGTCCATGCAAAGGCCACCAACCGGTAAAAATGCATGTGGCCCTGCACACTCTTGACCCTTCCCACAGGGGAAAGACGATCTCCTCGTGAGAGGCGAGTTTTACAGGAGTGACCTAGTGGTGGAGCAGCTAGAAAGTCCATTAGTCTGAAGGTGACCTGCTGGCTTCCTCCCCAGCCTCTAAAGCAGGTGTTGGCAAGTGAAGGCCTGTGGGCCAAATTGGCTTGTTTGTGTAAAGTGTCACTGGAACGCAGTTTGCCAATGCGTTTATGGATTGTGGCTGCTTTCATGCTACCACTGGCGGAGCTGTGTAGCTGGAACAGACTGCATGGCCCACAAAGCCTAAAATATTTACTACCTGGCCCTCAACAAAAAAAGTTTACCAACCCCTGATAAGTTCAGTCTCAACTATTACTAAAAGTGACCATGATTCTGACTCTTTCCATTAAAGCTTATCTTTAGGGGTCTTTACTTTCCTTCCAAGTGCGAGGTTCCAGACCTCCATATAATGGATGGGGAAATCTCTTCTAGTCAAAAGCCATTAACCTGAGTGGGAAAAATAAATTACCTGAGATCTACATGGAAATAAAAGCAAATTAATTTCACTCATCTTGCTCTTCGAAAGAATTTAGGCCTCACCTGATTTTAAAATTAAGAGGGAAAAGAACTTCAATAGAGAAACAGAAAAAGAATAAACCCGAGATACAAATAAAACATACAATTGGGGGGAGAGGGGAAGACAAGTTAAAAAACTGCAAAGTTAACGATCACAGGCCTAGAGATCACTGGTGGTAGAATTATCATTAAACTACTAAACACAGCCTGATGTCCTATGGGCTGTAACTATCTAGATGTTCTTCCTTTGTAGATTGTTCTTTAAAAAAAAAAAGAAAAGAAAAAGGTTTTATTTATTCTGAGAGAGAGGAAGCGAGGGAGAGAGAGAGGGAGAGAAACATTCATGTGTAAGAGAAACATCAGTTGCCTCTCGCACACCCCCAACCAGGGACCGGCCTGCAACCCAAGCATGAGCCCTGACTGCGAATCACGCTGACACCTGTTCGTTCACAGGCCAGCGCCCAATCCACTGGGACACACCAGCCAGGGCAGAATTGTCCTTTGAAACATCTAATTAGAAGAGTGAGCATGGCGTAGAGATCCTCACTTGCTCTTTATCCCTTCCCTGTTCAGAGGCGCCCTGGGAGAGTCACGGTATCTCGCCAAGGGCTCCTTGTCCTCAGGAATCCAGTAAAGGGAAACCGGGTGCATTTCATTTCTACCCAATATTATTTGAGATTCCAAGGTTGTAAGTCCTCTACTCCATATGGTCATATTTTATTTTTTCTTAATATCTTCAGAAGGTATGACAAGTCTTTTGCCACAACAACCAATTAGCTACCATTGCAAATACTAAAGTGAATCTGGAGGACTGAACCATCTACTGCTACCTTAACTTACTTTGTATTGGTAATACATTTAAATCCATTCTGTCCTTCACTAAATATGCGTGCCAGTTATTTCTGGAAGGAGTCTGCAAGAGCAGAATCACCAGGATAAGAAATTAGGTAAGGCTGACGGCTTTAATACAAAACAGCCTGTCCATACTGGTGCAGTAATACATTTTATGCCTCCAAATTAAATCTGAGCATGCTGATTTCTGCACTCTTCAGGAGACTGAGCACTCTATGTGCTCTCAGAAACCACTTTCATTTTAATCCTAGTAATCTTCAGAACTCAAATTCCTGATGAAAACTAAGACACGGCTGATAATCCAGCTGGTATGAAATGTGGTGCTTTGTAAGCATTATGTTCTTTCAGCCACTCAAGAGGAAAACATCAGCCTCCACTGTTTCCTACCAACTACTGTCTCCAAAACCCTATGCTGCTAGTTCGGCCAACTGGGTGTGTTTCGGAGAAAGCCCACACTTGTCAACCACCGTGGCTGTCGTCCTCTCCCTGGGCTGGGAGATGACAGGAATAGGCTGTCTGCTGCATGAGTCATCTAGAAGTCGTTTCTGTGAAATAGCTCTTTGGCAGACCACTACTGAGCCACCCAGCAGAGATATGAATGTTTTCAAATAGCAGCTGACGAGACAAGTCATTGAGGGGCATGCGGAATCCTTCTGGACTGTGACAATCAGGAGAAACAAAAGGCCTGATGCCAATTTCACTGTCCGCAAAAAGCCTCAAGTCGCTTAGAAAAGAGAACAGAAACCTCTTAAATTCACCTAATCTGGAAAAGATAAATATCACCACCTCATCAGCAAGCATTCTTATACTCAGAAGGTCTTTCATAGAATTGGGATAATCGGTCTTAGCTTCCACAAGACATTGTAATGATAAGATAGCATGTAAAAAAAAAAAAAACAAAAAACCAACAAAGCAATCTGAACTCTGAATCTAGAATTAATTCCAGATCGATGGGATTATTAATAACAAATGGAAATTTTATGTGTGGCCATTATGTGCATTTTTCTGAATGAAGAATCATTTTCATCAGATATTCCAAAGAGTATATGGCCCACTAAAGATTAGAAACCTTATGCTATGTGAGTTGTGAGTTACGGTTTTCAATGTTACATTCATCTGCTAAGGCTGTAAGTATCCTGCTTTTTGTCATTCCCTGAAAGTCAAGCGTTTATAACTAATATATTCATATGTGTTTCTGTGGTTGAAAGACAAAGTGGTGAGAGGGAAAAATCCACTCTTACCGGTCACCAAAAATTCAGCTTTGTCCAAAGATTTTGCTCTGAATCACACGTTCCAAATGGCAGCAGCCATGGAGTCTCAGATCCTTTCTGCTTCAGCTAGCGTTCCCTGATACTAAGTATCTCTTCATATTCAGCATTAACCTTGAGTTTGCAATAGGTCTTTCTTTCCTCAAGGAATCAGAAGCCCTTCCCTTATATATAATTTCTGGCAGTAGGGCGCATCCGGATTAAAGACAACCCCTGCCACACTCCCCCCTTTTTCTTTCACTAAAAGGACAACCTGGACCCAGAGTGTTGAATTATCTACCTGATGTCCCATAGTAAGTCACACAAGGAGGAGACCAAGGGAAGAAACCCAGCTCTTCCTCTTCTACAGAGCCCTGGCCTGGTGGGCAAGACAGTCAACGCCTCAGCGCTCCCTGGGCTGGATCATGTCCTCCCTGGCCTGACCAGTACAAACACTGGCTGGGAGGCCCAACAAGTCATCAGGGAGTCAGGCAGGAGGAATGGTTATGCCAGGCGCATACCCACTGCAGAACTGTGACAACTTGGAAGATGGGTGACAGACCGACATTCAGGACAGGGTGAGATAAGACCACGTCCCCCATTCTCGGGCACATTAGAATGTATTGCTCCACTCAAGCAAGGCAGAGAGGAAAAATGAAAAGTCCAAACTGGCTTCTCCTTCTTATAGCTATATCTGTACACATATTCCTTCCCTTGGTCTGTCTCCAAAGTGCTCATTAAATGCATATGCGTCCCGGCCTAGGCTTCTGCCTCTGGCAGAACTCAGCCCATCCCGAAGACTGGTACCGCTGAGACTCTCCAACCATCCCTGATTGTCTGGTTCTGGAAGTATTCTGAGGGTCTGTTCTCAGAGGGAGCTAAAGTAGCTTCCATCTGAGCTGAGCAATCCTAGCTCACCTCTGATCCCCATACTTCTCTGATGGGCGGAAGGTTTCTCGGCCTCAGGAATCTGACTAGCAGTGCTTCACTCACCCTGACAGAAAAAGAGACCTCGTGTTTGCTCGGGCCGTCGTGAAGCCACCATCTCAGCTTATGGGGACGGGGCTGCCAAGAACATCTCCACCCTTACCTGTCCTGTACGCATCATGTGAAGTCACGTGGTGGGAGGAGGAGGACAACCTTTTAAAATGTATTACATTTAAGGCAGATAATTAAAGCCTAACAATAGCATGATATAAAACAAGCAAGGTGAGCATCTCACTGAGTTTATTGTGCTCTTCCAAGAGAAAGTTCCACTTCCTGGTCTTGACATCTGCAACGAGAAGAAACAAATAAGCAAACATGACATCCTGCCCTCTGCTATGTCCTCACACATACTCAATCCCTGGTTTCATAACCCTCCAGTGTGCTCGGATGATGTGGCTGACCCTGTGCTTGGTACAGGGCATACAGAGAGTAAACTGAGAAGTGCCTGCCCGTGAGGCTTCTGCGAGTTAGGACAAGCAGTCACGGTGACAAGACTGGGTTGTAAGGCTGCTGATAAACTGCTCTGGAAATGCGTGCCTGGTGTGGCCCACCAGGTCAGAAATGCCCTGAATTTCCAAGATAGGGGATAATAATGGTGGCTTACACTTACTCAGTGCTCGTTTTGAGCCAGGCACAGTACCATGAGGTTCACACGCACCATCTCCTCTGCTCCTCACTATGCTCCAAGCTGGGCACTATTTTTAGCTCCATTTTGTACCTGGGGAACAAGCTGCGCGTGGTCCGCGTGGTCACGCAGCCTACATTTAAAGCCCAGTTCTGCCACCTCCTAGCTGTGCGGCCTAGCTGTGAGGGCAAGTCACATAACTTCTCTGGGGCTCAGTCCTCACATCCGAAAAAGGAGGATACTACAGCCCCTGCCTCTCTGGGTTCTTCTAGGGATTACTTTAAAGTTAAATGTAAAGTGCTTATTGAAAGCGTGCCTGGCAAACAAGGAGCGCTCAGGGAAAAAAAGTTATATATTACGATTATGATTATTATTATCATGCCATCTGCTGATTAGCATCATGTAGCATAAAATACATGCAGTATTAACTAAGCAGGCTGAGCATCTCACTACCTAATACTGGCTGATTACTTAAGAGAGCTTTCCCTACCAATCTGCCTTCTGAGCAAATCAAGAAGGCTTCCACTCGATAAATGCTTTCTGGACAGCAAAAGCGACTTCTCTGCATGGCCACTGAGAAAGCAAGGTGGCCTGGGAAAAAGCGCCACGGGCGGAACGAGTCAGACGCAGGAGAAAGACTAGGCAGCCTCGGGAGATCTGGCCGAGCCCAAAAGCTGGCTGACAACTCCTTCCGTGGGAACCCTGTCCTGACGGCAGCACAGGGGAGAGCGAGTCCGTAACCAGGAGCTATGGCAAAAAATCCAATCGTCGTTTTTGGATGTCTGGGTGTGGGCGGGACCGGGTGTCAATATTTTAGCTCTTTGTATTTCCAAAACAGCAGACCACATGAGAAGTGTAACTTCAAAAGTCGCGCTTTTCAGAAGACAGAGGTCAACTGTACTTGCGTATTGAGGGTCACCCCAAGCTAAAGCCGAACATCCTGACAGGGCAGGAGAGGCAAAGAACCCTGGCCCCCGTGGGAACAGCTCGTCCCACGCCTCAGGCTGCGCCCAGCACATCTCATCCAAACTGCTCACCGGCCGGATCTCACCGGTGACACCAGCCAGCACCCCTCTCCTCCCGAAGGAGCCCCGGGCCCGGAGGAAAACTCTCCGAGCAAGTGATTCCACGGAGGCTTCTTCCCTGATGTGGCCTGACTGACGTCTCAGAGGCAAGAGGTTTTAAGAGCTTGCTTTCTACTTGTCTAGGGAAAGGCTAAAACCATTTCAGAATTGGAGTATTAATCCATGAAAACCACACTGTTTGTAAAACAACATGGTCCAAGCTGAGGAGAAAACCCAGTTCAGGATTCTAAACCTGACTTCTGCCACATATTCTCACAGGGCAGCTTTAGAAGAACCTCATGAAAAATAAAGCAAAATTGCTCAGCTTTGGCCAGTGGTTGCCAATCATGGCTGATTTTTAGGTTCTTCTGGAGATTTTAAAAAATACCAATGCCCAGGCCCACCTCAAGCCATGAATTCATGTCTCAGGGTGGGACGCAGGCACCGCATATACCCTGGGGGTGGGGCCCAGTGATCCTGTTCACCAAGCCCTCCAGGCAGTGCGCTCAAGTTTGCGATCTACTGTCTTAGTCTGCAGAAAGGCATTTATTTTTAGGACCACCATTTATTTTTCAAGCTCTGTTAGGGACAAAATATAAACAGGTAGGTTTAAATGGCTGAAGCAGGAATTTGTCTGCTTCTACCAAGAAAACACTGACCAGGGGACTGGTGGAAACGGTGGGGTCTTCTCTTCAGGAGGCCTTTGAGGACTAATGGGGCTCACTCTGTGTTCACTATCTGAACAACTTAGACGTTGCCTTTCTGTAGTAAGAAGAGCAGATCAGAAAGGCTCTACCAAGAAAGTCATTTGAGTGTTCAAACAGAGAGAAAAACACTCTACTCTGAGACACAGACCGCAATGCATCCTGGGCCTCAGACAGAGGCCGATTACTTGCCGTAATTTCTGGAATCCATCTGTTTAAACACTGCGATCAGCTCCTGTGAATAGCCGATGTCGACCTCGAAGCGGGCCCGGGAGATGAGCAGGCACTGCCCTTTGACGAACGTAAGAGAGGGAGCCGGAGGCAGGCGGCTCTGAGCCAGGCTGCTGGCCCCGTCCAGAGGCTGCAGGGTGACCGTGGGCAGGCGCTCGACTGCTTTCACTGCCGAAGAAGAAGAGAAGAGCAGATGGTCCCTGGAGGCTCAGGCAGGCAAAAGTGCAGGGCAGGGGCAAGGCCAGGGGAGCAACACGTGGCAGGGAGGCGAGAAAAGGCACTGCTGAGTGGGGAAGCTTTTGCAAGCGTGCTTTCACGGAGGCTTTGGAAGTTTCAGTATTTACTGAACATAACTCTTCTGCTCCTTAAATTTACAAATTAAGACATTTAGAAGTCGGAAATTAACAGGAAGGAGAGGGGTCTCACCAGAACGAGCAAGTTTATTAGATAGTTTCTGTTGCTGACGTCAACACAGCGGAAATCTCCCACTTGACCCTACGCTGCTTGGAGAGCCAGGGAGAGGGACAAAGGCCCTCCAGGCCCAGAAGCATTTGTGAGCTTTATTTTATCTATTTCTTTATAGATGAATAGATAGGACTACATAAAACTAAATTGTCAAAAAACACAAACTAAGTTGAAAGGCAAAACTCTTGAGTAAAGATACTTGCAAGAAAGAGAAACAGAGTTCACACTCTAAAAAAAATACCAAGACCACAAAAGATAGAGATGCCACCAATTGAAAAGAGGAGGGAAAAAGACTAATAAACATACGAAAAAATGTTTAATTTCACAAATAATCAGAGAAATAAGAAGCTATTTTTTTACTTATAAAACTTGCAAAATTGAAAGAAAAACAAAAACAAAAACAGATGTCTGCATTGCCAGTTGGGAATAAAACCCTTTGAAAAGCAAATGATTCAACCTCTGGGAATATCTCCCAAATATACAAATTTATGGAAAAGGTGTTTCTTATAGCTTTAATACTGAAAACAACTGGGGGCAAATTAAAAGACAAAAAGTAAATCATTTAAGCAATTTATGACATATTCATAAAATGGAATATCATATAACAAATCATTGTTTTTTGGAAGAAATTTCAGAAAAGACAAACATACCAAAAGAATATTAAGTACAACGGTATAATATTATTTTTTTGGAAGTCAAAGGGTCCCAATAATGGCACCCACATTTTCATCATTCAGAATTAACTGTGAGCATGTATCAACACTAAGTGAAAAATGCAAGAAAAAAAACTGCATTACATAGATAAATATTTATATATTTTAATGCTATAAAAAATGCTGGAAGGAACAAAACCAAAATGTCAGTAGTGGTTAACTGAATGAGGAGCTTATGGGGATAGTGTTTCTTCTGTGCACGCTGGTATCCTTTCCACATGTTCCATGATGAGTGTGTGGTAGAGTTAAAAAGCCAAAATCCAGAGGTACACCCAAAGCAAAATGACAGAAAAGACTGACAGAAACAGCCTTTATACATTGTGTCAATGAAAAGCAGAACCTGCTAAGACACGACAATCATGAACCTATCTCAAAATTTAAAAGAAAGAATACAAAAATTCATAATCGCTGCAAGAGTGTTCAAGGTAGGTATATCTTGGTCAATAGCCAATCAAGTGTGCAAAACACTGCTAAGGACACAGAGGAGATAAACAACTCAAAATCGGTCAAATTCATCTAAAAGCTATATGCAGCCCTGACCAGTGTGGCTCAAATGGCTGGGTGTCGGCCTGCCAAGCAAAAGGTCACCAGTTCAATTCCCAGTCAGGGCACACGTCTGGGTTGCAGGTTCAGTCAGGGTGCATGCTGGAGGTAACCAATCGATGTTTCTCTCCCTCTCTTTCTCCCTCTCTTCCCCTCTCCTTAAAAATAAATACATACAATCTTTAAAAAAAAAAAACAACAACAAAAATAAAAGCTATGTACAGACTTCTGTACCCATTAAATGGTTTTTAAAAATATGTGAAGCACTATAAAAAGCAGCCACACAACACAGAAAATCTAAATGAATTTGCAAACAGAAATTATCCAGGTCACCATGCATTGTGGTCAGAGAAGGGAGTTAAAAACACAATGTAACAAACAAAACCATAACCTTGGAAATCACTGGTTTAATCTGAGCAACATGGGAGCACTAGGTGTCAAGACCTGCGATCTTAACTTAGGGCACAGGTTCTCCCCCTCCTAACACTTCACAAAAGGATTAAAGTAATAGTAAAAATGAGCCTCCCAAAAAGGTCACCAGCAGCTACCACAGAAAAGCAGGGGAGGCCAAGAAGAGAAATAGGGACTTCTGCAGGGAGCTGTCCCATCCCCCCAACCCCCAGAACCTGTGCTGGAGACACCAGAGAATTCCGCCCCGTGCCCCATGTCTGTGGAGGAGGGACCTCACCATGCATCTGTATGTTTTCCCTTTTTGAACTGGGGAGAAGGGAGAGAAGAGAGGGGATAGAAATGGCTGCTGGGAGATGTGAGGACACCCAGGGCAGAAGAGCAGACTTCAGGCACCAGGAGGAGGTCACCAAAACCTTGGAGTAGGGACAGTCAACAAAATCTCAAAAGTGATACATGCACCTAAGGAGCCCGACAACAACCTGACCTGGCCTCCCCAGCCCTGGCCTTGGCTGGAGTCTGCCTGGGCAATGCCCCTCCCTGCGCTCTCGAGTTAACTATGAGGATTTGGGTTGTTTGCTGAACTGTAAACCTTCCTGGGAGCAGCAGCTGACATAGCTGCCTGCCATGGCTGGAGCCAGTAATCCAGTGGGAACATGCAGCCTCAAGTTGGACTGTCTGGGTTTGAATCCCAGTTGCACAATTTATTGGCTGTGTGACCCTTTGTTAGTTACATACCCTCTCTGGGCTTCAGTTGTCCCATCTGAAGAGGGCTGTTATAAGGAATAAGAGTTAGGATGTGGAAAGGGTTTAGTACAGCGTGGAACACAGCAGGCTCCATCTAATGCTAGCTTTTGATAAAATACTAATGACTATGAGCCAAGGAGCTGCCTCACTAGGCTGGCCATTGTGAGAAGGAAGAAGAGCATTGGGATGGTGCCCTGAGAGCCATCTGAACCACGAGCTATAGCTCCACATCTACACAGAGCACATCTATAGCTGCGGAGAAACTTTTCAACACCCGTGTTTTCCTGCGTGAGGGATGACAACACACCTACTTACTCAGGGCACTGTAGTCGGTCATGCTGAAGTTCCACGTCTTGGTGTCAGGATCTGAAATGAAACACAAATACTTGGTCTGCTCACACACAATAAGGCTGATGACTGTTGTTATAATTTGCCCTTGCACATTCAATAAAAAAGCTCATTTAATGAATGAGTACTAAATTCAAAACAGTTGGCTGAACAAGACCCCACTGACTTACAAAATCCTTGAAGAGGACAAAGAGCAACTATAAATGATAATGCTTTTTATTCTATATTGAGAAATTCAAGTCAGCCTCTGCAAATGTTATGGGCCTCACCTCAGAGCACTGAGGGCAGACGGGGGACCCCGCGTAGCGCGGCGAAGCTCGGGTGGGAGGGGTGTGCCCTGCAGCACAGCAGAGCTGGCAACACCCCGGCTCTGCCCCTCAGACAAACCACCCTGAGCATGTCCAGGTTGCCGAGCCAGTTCCATTGCCTTTAAAATAACATCTAGTTATCTCAAAGAACTGTTGTTAGGCTTAAGTGCTACAGCACACAGAAAGCACCTGGCAGAGGAGCGGGCCTCTCAGTAAACACTCAGCCATTCTCCATATGGCCATGTGGCAGCCCCCAATTTTGGCACCTGTGTGAAGGAACATCTATGACAAAAAGAAACATGAGCTAAAATAGAAAAATCTTAACAACTGGATGTACAGAATGTGCCAATGCACGCTCTTCCTATTTATGAGAAACTGCTAGATTGAAAGAGACTCTAAAAGAGAAAAAAAAACACATCTGAAGAACTAAAGGAAGACTCATTACCGAATTTTCTGCTGGGCAGACGCTTGAACACAGCAATGAGCTCCGCATTGTACCCAATCTTCACCTGGAAACGGTCTCCATCCCTCACACACGCTCCCTCCTGGGAGTTTACTGCTTTGTGGGATGAGGCCCCCAAGTTCTGCAGGAGACTTCGTTCTATCCCGGGCATCACGCTCCCTGGGCCACAATGGGTGTCAGAAACATTCTGCCCTGAGGTGGAGGGTCTGGCTGTCTTGGCCTCTAATTCGGGATCCCTGGGAAGCTGTCCCGAGAAAGAAGCTGGAGTATCCTGGGAACTCTTTGCTTTGGCCAAAGGCTCATGAGTTGTGCTAACGAAGGGTGTTGATTTGGTCCCATGCGAAACCTGAGGATGACCTTGACCTGACTCATAACCCAGGAGCTGCTGGCTGGAAACCTCTGGGGGACTTTGTGCCAATGGAGGGGAGATCCCAGTGAGAGTCATTTGACTGGGTGGGCTCTGGTGTGGGCAGGCTGTGGGCATCTCTTCCGGCCTCTTCCATGTCCCCTGGGCCTGCTCCAAAGTGCTGAGATGAAAACTGTGGGGATTATGAGGACTTTGGTCACCAAGAGATGAATTACTGGTTTTCTGTTGCTTGAAAATGACACCATGGCTCACTGGCTTAGCAGAGTCTCTGGGGAGATGGCAAGAAGGACCCTGCTTGGACTGGGAAGGACAGGCAGCAATGGGGGAACCCCAGCCTCCACTCTGATGCTGTTCTGCTAATTTCTCGGCTCTCCGGGCCAGAGCCTTTTGTCGATTCTCCTCAATCTTTTTCTTCTGCTCCTCTGTAAGAGGCAAGGACATTTTAACAGGAAAACGCTTATGCAGGAACATCAATCTTTTAATCAGACACGTGGCAGAAGCTGAGAAATCTAAAAAAAAAAAAAGGAAATAAACATGAAATATATTTATTTATCATGTGTCCACCTTGATTTTAACAAGCTTTTGTCCCAGGAAATGCACAAAGAGTACAAAAAGGATATATGAAAGTTTCTTTTAGAATTTAAAAAGCCACACGCACACAAGAATACTAGGTAGCAGAGGCCAGAACAATGATCCTGACAAAAGAGCAAAAAACATCAAATCCAAAGCTCTTGAAGAGGTATTTCAGCTGCAATATTTTTCTCCCTCTCATCCCCCAGCCAGCATTGAGTTACCAGATCCCAAGGAAGTTATGCAGGGCAACCTAAATCTACCAAATAATGAGAAGAACGTTTCGAACTGGAAAGGATAACGGATTAGACTGACATAGACGAAAACAACCACATACCATGGTGTAACACTTGCTAACACAAGCTCTTTCCAACCTGGAAGAAAGAAAAAAGCATTAGCCTCACATGGACTGCACACTAAATTCACCCCTCAAATTCAATCCTCTTACGATTCTTCGCAAATCAGCCTGCAGGTGGCTAGATGCAAGCCACAGAGTAGTTGGCCTCCGTGCCTGTCTTCCAAAACGCACCACTTCAGAGCAACCCAGTGACTCTTTTGGAAAAATAAGGGGGAAAAAAAGTAACATATGCTCATTGTACAAATTCAGATGTCCAAAAGATGGAGAGTAAAATTAATCGGTAATTTCACCATCCATCAATAACTACTGTTCATAGTTAAGGGTACAGTATAGTTCTGTTTTTTTATCCATATCCATAGACGCATGTCACATATGTGGGAGATATGTGCTTATTATGAAATAGGGTCATTATATACATTCTGTTTTGTACCCTAATTATTTTTTTAAATTAATTTACTCAAGTCATTTTTCTATGGGCTAAGCCACTTTTACAATATTCTGCAGCCAAGGAGCTGGACACCAATTTCCCTGGTTTGATTCTGTCTAAATAGCACCCCATCTAATGTAATGGTATGTAATGCTTATGACACTGGGGCACTCCGACGTCCTGTTTAAGCCTCTGAGGATCCAGAGGTTTCCTTCCTGCTGGGATTGCCTTGGGCCCCCCAAACACCTATTGCCAAACACCTTCCACCTCCACCCACCAACAAGAAAGAGCTGGGAAAGGCTCCGTTCCCGGACACAGCTGAAGCCCTCAGGTTCCCTGGGTAACTTGCCAACACTTCTGCCTAACTTTCCAACTAGAGCTTTCCTACACCATCGCGCTCTCCTCGTCCAGGGCCCCGGGCGCCTACTGCCTCCCTGAATGAGCAAGGGTTGGGAAGGCCACGGGGTGATATCCTGCTATCAGCCCCAAACCATAAAAACATCACACCATATGGACACCTCTCTTCCTCTCCACGCAGAGACATTCTAAAATTCTAACTTTGGGGGCGCGCCTCACTCCGGTCCGTTGGTAAAGAAGAGTCACGCCCCACTTCCACCCCTACTAACTCCACTTGGACTCACCCTTCCCCGTGGACCACTCCCTGCTCCAAGCTGGCACTTGGTCTCGTCCGCCGACACCGCCTTCTTCCCAGTCTACCTTCGCACCGCGTATGGCCTAGTACGCGAGCCACATGCACGGCGGACCCCGAGCCCAGGCGCCTCTCCAAAGTCCTCCCGCGCTAGATTACGCTTCCGACTGGGCGGTTAAGACCCGGCATTCGAGCGCTGCCAGTTCGCCCGCCTGGTTGTAGTGTCTGGGCCTGAAAGGGGAAGGATGCTTAGTACATTTCCCAGCGGGCAACCGGGGCACAGCTGCGCTTCCAATAGTGGGAGTGGTTAGCCACGAGACCCAGGCAGTGCTGTAAGGTCGTCTGGGATTTGTAGTTTGGGCCTAGAGCCTGACGAGAATTAAAGACTCAAGGTCAGGGGTGAGGCAGGGCGGGGCTGGAGTGGTGCACCCTGGGGGTTGTAGTCCTGGGCTTCCCCAAAGGTTAAACCAAGCACGGGGTATTGAGAACCTGGGACGTTGAGGTTTCCAAGACTGGAGTCTGGCTGCCAGAACGGTCTCCAGAGAGCTGTCAGAGTTGTGTTCAGAGGGCACACCAGAAGGAACTGTTCGGTAGCTCTTAATAAAAAAAAAAAAAAAAAAACCAATCCCCTGGGGCATTCTTCCTGGTATTGATAACCTTGTAAATTAGGCCCCACCCTCTATCCCATCCCCGGACCAAAGGACAATCAGCATCATCAACATCTTCGCCGTCATCGTGAGGCACTGTGATGATATTTAATGTGAATTAACTCACTTAATCCTCACCATAACCTTATGGAACACACACTCCTATCTCCATTTTACAGATGAGAACACTGAGACAGCTATACCTAACATTTTCACAGCCTTGAAGCGATTTGTGATTCTGATTGTGAAGCACCCCCACCTCCCCGCCCACGCCGGCCCTCTGCTCTTGAGAGAAAATTAGTAACCTGACGCTATCAGAGTCAGTTTAATCCATTTCTGAGCTCCAACACCCTTTCCCTTACACAGTCAACTCCACCTTAAACACTGGTGGTGAATATAGTATTCTTTCATCAGTATACACATGAATGTTGCTATTCTTTTTTTAAACATCGCTCATCTTAAAGAGGAATATCTTTAGAATTTTGTGAAATGGCCAAGACAAAAGCGCAGCAATGTAAATAGTTTGATCCATTAAAATATTTTTGTACCTGTAAATACATGTAAACTCATAGAAAAAAGAAATTCAAAAACCCACAAACTCTTCAGGACCAGGAGTAGAATGAGATACTCGTCTACTTTTTAATATGTTTTTCTGAGTTCTTTGTTTCTTAAAATAATCATGTAGATCTTGTGTGAATTTTGAAACAGTAGATCACTTTTTTTAAAGGACAAAGACATTGGCCTGCCTTACCAGACTTGAATGATGTTTAGTATTAGAAAGCATTCAAATTTCAGCTCTATGGTTTTATTGGCCACATAGACACAGTCACTTTTATTCCATTTTCTCAACTGTAAAATAGAAAACAATGCCATTTTGCTGAATCCCCTTCTTGTGGTGAGGATCAAAGCAAGACAGAACAAAATGGGAGAAGTGCTTAGTGAACTGTGAAATATCAGAGCAGATGGGAGAGGGATGTCGCTATTATCTGGGGTAAATCTCAGGTCTTTTCATTTCTCTCCATCCAGCACTCACGTCCTACTGTATAATGTGAACAGAACCAGATGAACACCTCTTCCTGCCCTTCCAGTCTCCCACAGAGTCAGTTAATTTGCGACAAGAGCTGGGTGCTGTGCACTTCACCCGTGCCTGCCGCCAACTCATGACAGTCACTTCACTCGGTTTTACTCAGTCGTCTCACCTGTAAAATGATATATGTTATCACTGCCCTTTGATATATGTTAAGAGGGCATATAGGTGAGTGGATCTTGGGTCCTAGAATTCCTATAGATTCATGAATCTTATCCCCCAAATCCCACTTGGGTAGGTCTGAAATTGGACTCCTCAGAAACGTGATTATCTTTCCAGCAATAACATTCTAAAATTCTAGGAATGGGAAATTGAAATAAGAATTCAGTTAAAATCATCTTCAGAGAGTAATTTAATTAGTTTAATTAATATAGTTTAATAGAAATTAATATTCATTGCTGCTTTGTCAATAGCATCCTTTATTGAGGTCTTACCCTATCCAAGTCTTTAAAAAAAAGATTCCTATACTCCCAAAGTTCTTGAGGCAACTTACAATGAAAGTCCATTTATTAAAAGATTTACACCCTGGCCGGGTAGCTCAGTTGGTTAGAATATCTTCTCGGTATGCTAAGGTTGTGGGTTCGATCACAAGTCACAGCACATATAAGAAACACCCAATGAACAACAAATGAATGCATAAATAAGTGGAACAACAAATCAATGTCTTTCCTTCTCTCTCTCCCTTTCTCTCTCTCTTTCTCTCTCTCTCTAAAAATCAATAAATAAAAATGTTTAAAAAGATTTAAGGGCCTGGAGGAAAGCACAGGAGCCAAGGAGTACAGAGGGAGGAAAAGACAGTAGGAGCAGGTAAGCTCCAATTTAACTCAGAGCTTGCTGGTAGCTAAAGCAAAGACGTAAGACTCTCGGACAAGGCCTTCAGATAAGTACTACACAACTGCAGCTCCCAAACATAGGTCAGCTGGGCAGTGCCAAACTGGTTTGAGGCATCGCCTGCTTGGCTCTGAAACACACAAACAAAATGACAATGTGATGAGTATTTGTAAAGTTTTAAATGATTTATAAAATTTATGTAAATTATATCATTATATACAACCATATAAAATGACATGAGAATTCATCTCATAGTTTTTAATCTTTAACTGGCTTTTCTTTAGTAAAGTGAAGATGGTTGTAAATGTCTTCATTTACCAAAATAAAAAGTTGTTTTTCCTTCCAAAAAATCCAAAAATGTTTAGTCTATGAATCCAAAAATCTGGCAGACACAATTGTAAGGGATTCCAGAGATGACTAAGATCCATCGCCTGTCCGTTGAGAAGGTTACAGTATTTGGAGGACAAAAGAAAAATAGCTAAAATTGTCAGATTTAGCAACTGTCCCAAATATTGCATGGCACATACATATCCTAAAAAAGTGTTTGTTATTTTCTCTGAAATTCAAATTTAACTGGATGTCCTCTATATTTTATCTGACAACTATAAAAATAGTTCACTCCTGCCCTAGCTGGTGTGGCTCAGCGGACTGCGAGCTGGCCTGCGAACCAAAGGGTCACCGGTTCGATTCCCAGTGTAGTGCACATGCCTGGGTTGTAGGCCAGGTCCCTAGTAGGGGGTGCGTGAGGTGCAACCACACACTGATGTTTCTCTCCCTCTCTTTCTCCCTCCCTTCCCTTCTCTTCTCTAAAAATAAATAAATAAAATCTTAAAAATAGTTCACTCCTATTTTCAGTGACTCAGGACTTAGTTGAGCAGCAAACAAATCTATACATTGCTAGATAGCTGGTTCACAAGTATACTGATATAATAAAGCTAGGAGAGACTTTAGGTCACAGGTGAGGCAATAGAGGCCACATCAGCTGACAGTCTGTATAGGACTTCTGTGTGTTACAAAAACACAGCGAAGTTAGCAGTGCCTGATGTCACAGACCAGGCGGAGGCAGGCTGAAACAGGGAACCTCAGTTCCAACGTCAGCACTTTATAGGCACTAATTAAACAGACAAAATAGTTGTTGCAGGTTTGCCCTTGCCTGGTGGTATATCTGGGATTTAACACCCTTCACCCTGGAGCTCACATGCGAGTGATGTAGATGCGAGGCTTCCCTCTTTCCACTTCTGATTCCTTACAGAGAGTTTGACGGGCCTTTTGGGAGGGAGATTTGACAGCCATTTCAAGGGCATGTCATCACTCAGGTTAATTACACCTAGAGCAGTGAGATAAGATGGGGGAGCAGCTGCAAGACTTTGGGTGGGTAAGGAGGCTGGCTGTTCCCTCCTTGATGCTGTCAGTTGGCAAGTACATTTGCATATCCAAAGCACAGAGGGGCAATGAGAGGGTTTATAAGCCAGGAAATTCACCTTCCAGAGTGCTTGTTCCGTTCTGGTGGACTTAATAGCTTTGAGTCTGACAGTTCAGTTTTTCTCTCTCCTCTCATCTGCCTCCCCTAGGCTTCCTCCCCCACTCAAAACTCTAAATGTATTACAAGGCAGAAACTCCAGTATTATTTCTACATGGTGCCTTTCATAATTTGGTGTAAGATTTCTCCAAGCGTCTTAATTTCTCAAACTATGAGATCATGTTAGCTGTGATTACTTCACACCCTCAAATCTGGCACCTTGACTCCTAAAATGGCTTATATGTCCTTTGCCAAAACCATCCCCTTTGACCCCTTGCGCCTGTTTTCTTAGACCTGTAAATTTTTCCTTTTTCTCCAATATGTCAAGTTCCACTTTATTCATCCATTCATGCATATATTCATTTAACAACAATCCAAGGGTCTACTATGGGCCACATACTGTGCAAAGACACTGGGGTTGCAGCAGTAACTAAGAACCCAGAGATGTTACCCTTTCTTCATAAAGCTTACAGTCTAGCTGGGGAGCCAGACCAAAGGGGGAAAAAAGGAAATAAATAAACCAAATGACCTAAACAGAGGGTCGCAATAGAACCTAAAGAGGAAAGTATTTCAGGGTGGGCAGGAATGGCCTCCTAAAGGGGAAGCGTCGAAGCTGAGACCGGAACAGGGAGTGGAAGCAGCTGTGCGAACGTGGGATGGAGGAGGGTTCTCAACCAGAGGCAAAGACAGCACGCTGCACCCAGGCCAGAAAGACCCGGGTGTGTTTGAGGAACTGAAACAAGGCCAGTGTGGCTGCAGGGTGGTGTGAGGGGAGGAGAGGGACACGAGGTGGGACTGGAAAGGCAGGTAGGGCTGATAATTTCAGGGTCCTGTGGGCCACGAGAAGAAGTTTGGACTTCGTTCTGAGAGCACTGGGAAACCCCTCAGTGGGTTCACACTGCCACAGTGTGCTCTCATGTGTGTCCTAAGAAGAGTGCTCTTGCTGCTGAGTGCAGCCTGCGGGGGATGAAGGCAAGTGGGCCAGCAGGGAGGCCTTGCGGGGAGCCGTGGCAGGAATCTGAAGAAGAGATGGATGGTGGCCTGGCTAGATGGTTGCTATGGAAACCTGCCTGGAGGGGAGATGCCAGCACCATACCTCCTTCTCAGGAAGCCGGAATGTCTGAGCCAGGCATGTGCGAGCGCACACACAGCACTCGGAGCCCCATTGCAATGGACACGAGGTTTGTTTAGAAAAATGAGGTAGCAAACTGACCTTTCT